AGATCTGACCTGAATGAGGGGGCATGAGGGTCAGGTAACCAGAATACTTTATCTCTCCTGAAGTGTTAGGAAGCTGGAAATCACTGGACAGACCCTTAAACAGGCTGCCAGTGGACCCCCTTGCTCTGAACTCTTTACGGTCACCTCCAGGCCAGCAGGGTTCGGAGCCCTGCTGCTTCCTGTTCCCTCCCCTTGAAGGGCATCTGCTTTTATATACTAAGTCCCTGCCACTGAAAGTGTTTGGGCCCACAAAACCACAGACTGCCTTCCTTTCCAGCTCCATTGGAAATAATATGTCAACCCCACAAAGCACATTATATACATGTGTGTATTGCTGCTTCGTGAAGATGGGGACCCCAGGAGCTTCATCTTTGTCTCCTCCTGGGGCTTTATCCAGAGTCTACTTCCCACAAACAGACCCTGCATGGTATTTGCCAGAGTCTGCTACACACTAATCTGTAAGCCCTAGATTAGGACCCTTGGAGGTGACAGAAAAACACTTTGGGGGCTGCTTTCTTAGGCAGCTCAGTAAGGTTGAGAATGTTGAGGTTTTCTTCATCTCCCATTTATTTTCCTCACATGCCGTTTCTGGTGACCTCTTTCCTCTTGACCCGTCGTTTGCCCACCTCTTTTCTGCCATGCCAAGCGATGGAGAACACTAGTGCAGTACTTCTGTGGTTGGGGCATCTGAAAATCCTGGATAGTCACTACATTTTTCACCTGGCCCTGTGGTCAGCGTCCATTTCAGTCCCAAAAGGGCATAGTCATTGCTGCCTAAACAACACAGTCCTTGCTTATGCCAGAGCTCAGCAAAGCCAGAGCAGCATTGGCACTTTTAAGTTTTTGTATTGTGGCATATTTGGTATTTTCAGTATTCATTTTATAATAAAATATAAATTGTTTTTAAAAAATTAAATTGCATGTAGACATGTATTCCTCCAGGGTCTCCCAAATCAGTGTCATTTCACAATAAAACCAAATCTAATATAACCTTATTTGACCACTCACCTTTTTGTAACATTTTCCCTGTGGAATCTATCCTACTTGCCCACTCCAATTTTATTTGCCCAGAACTAATTAATGATGTTAAATGGGGGTAAGACACTATCATGGTTCTTATTGGATATGTGAGATATGATTTCACCCACTCTCAGTAGTGACAGTTACTGGAAAAGCTCTCTCCACTTTCCCCTTTCCTTCCTATCCAGTTCAGCTCCTCCCAGGTGTTAGCTAGACCGTGACACTCAAGGATTTGAGTGAGAATTGTACAAAGAGAAGAATCAGAAACAAAGAAAGCCCGTTTTCTCACTGTGTCATAGTTTTCCCCAGGCCTGTTGTAAACAAAACCTCGTTCTCTTCATACCTTGTATCTCTCTAAAACCTCATTGCTTTCTAAATCATCATTAAGTCCCACTAATACAAACCCCACCAGACTCGAGCTGCCTCCCTACCCATTCTCCTCTTCTTACTCCCTCTTGACAGCCTGTTACCATTTCTGTATTGAATAAGAGGCTTTTACTGGCTTCTTCCAATCTTCTTGCTCAGGAAAGGAGCTGAGGGAACTCCCTGATTCCTACTTAGGAAACTCCTCTCATGGAGATTTAGGAAGGGAAGGAATCTTTCCCAAGGTGGGGTAAACATCCTGGGTTTTTCTAATGTTAGGTTTGCGGAAGGGTTACAGTACATAGCCCTTCATCCTGTCCTTGCACTGTGAATGAAAATGATGGTTAGAAACCTATTTAATTACTTGAAAACACTTATAAATATTCCTGGCTTCTAAATTCAAAGTAAATTTGACAAGCCTGGCCTCACATTTCCTTTGTCTTCTGAACAAACGGAATCTGGGGGCTGCTTTACTGGGTGGGCTGGTACCAAAACTTGCTATTCTTCAGTAGAAAGCAGTTTGCTGTGTGAGCAAATTTAAAGATGTATGCAGAAGTTACCACCTAGAAAATCTGTATATTCAAGGGTTTGGTTTTTGGTTTTTTTTAGCATAGCATTATGTAGTGACATTGAGCAGGAGCTAGATTCTGTAATTACAAATTAGAGCCGACTTCCTTGACTAAATAATACCAGGCAATCCCTAACATTTGGGTGGCTGCTAATTTAAATACAAAACTTCTAAATTAACTGGCACAGGCCTGGCTATGTGTTGTTGAGCTGGCCTTGTATATTATTATGGGGAGAGGGGGAAACTAGCATCTTCTTGATGGTATAGAGGTGGAATTCCTTCCTGTTTTGTTGTTAACTTTTAAGACCAAGGGAGGATAATGGAGAGCTTCTGAAGCTCTCTCGGCTAGTTCTGTGTTGCTGGTGGCTGGACTGCTGCCTCCTTGAACTGGCTCAGTTACTTCCTGGACAACCCCTTCAGTGATCTCATCGGCCCAGCATGCACTGACTTGTAAATAGTGTTTTGAAAAGGCAGAGAATGATTAAGTCCTGTGTGAGCTATTGCTTTAGGGCCAGGCAATTCTTCCATCTACACTTCTTCTGGGAAGTTATGAGGCTGAGATGGCCAAGTGACTCAAACTTGCCCTGATCCCCAGGAGTTCTTTCTGCTGGGTAAGAGGAGCTGTGCTCTCCTTGGGAAAAATTGCAGTTCTTATTCTAAAGGAAATTAAATCAGACTTAGCTCAGAGATATGCCCCCTTGCTAATCTTCTTTAAGGCCAAGATAGGATGCTTATTTCTAAGACCTGAGACAGGAGAGAGCATTTATTTGCCGTTCGCCAAATACTTATCAAAAAACTACTATGTACCAGTAGGCTGTGTTCAATGCTAGGGGATATGTAGAAGTGAAATTATAATTGCCCTCAAAGTGGTTCCAGTCTAAGTGGGACACCCAATACAAATGTAGGACTGATGCAAAATAGAACAAAAAGAGGTGAAGCCATTTCTGCTGGAGAGATGGAGCACACTTAAGATGCAGTCCTTGCTCTCAAGAGCTGATAGAAGAGGAACCTAGATAGACTACAAACTAGACTATAGAGTGAGGGCAGACAAGGCGCTAAGAGATCAGCTGTAGGAGAAGTCACAGCTCATCCTCTTCCTGATGGGCTTCAGGTATGAGCAGACATCTGAGCAGAACCTCAAGGACTAAGCAGGTTTACAACAGACAGAATGGGAGTGAGGCCAAAAGGGGAGACGTTTCCTCAGCACCATCGAAGAAAGGAGCAGACACGGGAAGGCCCCAGATGTACCTTTGGTTTTCCTTGATGGGCCGCATGGATCAGTTCGTTTTCACAGACATATTTATGAGCACCTGTCTGATGAAATGAAATGCAGTAGTGCTGACTGTCCAGTGTTAAATGGGGTTCAGAAACTCAACTTCCCAAGTACAGAGGAGGGAGAGCATGGTTTGACAGCAGTTTTTCTGAAAAAGATCCTGGGGGAGTTAGGGCCTGCAGCCTCAGTCTGAGTCAGCAGCAGGAGATGGTGTCCTCTTGGGCTGGCTCCCAGGGATGGGGAGGTGGTAGGCCCTTGGTACCATGCCCTAATCAGAGCACTCTGGGAGCATTATGTTGAGTTCTGAGCACCACAGTTTAAAAAGATCAGGCTCAAGCTGCAGTGTTCAGACGAGGGTAGCCAGAATGGCGAAAGGCCTCTAGATCATGTCATAGCACAACCCAGAGCATGACCACTGTCTTCAGGTATTCCAAGGACTCTCATGTGGAAGAAGAATTAGACTTATTTTGTTTGGGCTCAAGTAAGGGGTGGATGTTGCAGAGAGAAATTTAGGCTTAGTGACAGAACAACTTCCTAACAATTAGAGCGATATAGAGGTGAAATGGCCTTCACCTTGGACAGTGGTGGGGCTGTCTCTCCCCCTTCTTGGCACAGGTCTTCAAGCAGAAGCTGCATGAACTCCGGCTAGGCATGTCACAGAGGGGCTGAGCGTCTGACCTCAGTCCTCAAAGTCTCTGCTTCAGCAAGCCATCAAGTACCATTCTCCATTCTTGGGATGCAGACCATCAAAAAGCTTATATTCTAATTGGGGCTGGGGTGGGGGAGGCAATGCAACAGGGAGAAATGACAACAGGTACATAGATGAGTAAATACAAGATGCATAAAGTAATGTGGGAGGCCAGAGGGAAGCACCGACAACTTGGGGGGAAGGGCAGTCAGGAAAAACCTCCGGTAGGAAGTGGTATTTCAGCTCAGCTTTGAACAAAACAGCTGCCAAGGCACTGGACGGGGGACTAGGGGTACAGAGACAAAGCAGGCTGTACCTCAAGGAACTGACATTTTACTGAAGGTTAAATAGTCTTGTCTAATTGGGGTAAAGAGGACACGGATGGGGGGCAGATAAAAGGAGATAAGTCTGCAGACATAGGTTGGAGCTAGAGTGTAGAGGGCTAAGTGGCATCCCTTCTCAATCACGTCATGATGGTGAGGTTAGAAAAGTACCAATAAAACAGAAATGTCTGAACCCAGGGCCTCATTTGTCTTTCTTGCCTCATCAGAGAGAATTCCAGCATCCCTACCTGTAACGATACCAAATAGACTAAGGCCCAGATTAGGCAGTTTGCCTTCCCTGACTGTTTAAGGTAAATGGGGCCCTGGAGCAAGTGACCTTTCAGACTGACTGCAGATGGATCTCTGCTTGTTCTGAGCTTGTTACAGGCAGCTCCAGATGTTTAGCCTGGGGACCAGCAGGGCAAAGGGGACTGGTGAAAACAGTCGTAAAGAGGGTGCCAGCTGGATGGGCCAGGTTGCGACAAAGGCTGGTTTTGCTTCATTTCCTCCCCGTGTACCTCCTTGAGGGGCAGGCAGACAGACTGGCTTAAACTCAGACTAGCTCTTGAAACAGAGGGGTTTGGGGTTTTGTGAGAACTAGACAAAGGTTTACCTAAGATTTGAGGTTTTCCTAAATCTGAGGAGACTTCCTTAACTTCAGCCTTGCTATTTAAAAAGGAACCGAATGCAAGTAAAAGATACAAAGAAAGATGCATGCCAGTTATTTGCGGAATGAATGCCTCTTTCTCTTGCTTCTCTTCCCAGAACCCACAGGATAACCATCACCAACTTCTGTCTTGGAAAGCACCTTGTGAGTGAGGATGACTTGCTGAAGGATCAGAGGGGGAGCCCAGCATACATCAGTCCAGATGTGCTCAGTGGTACGTGACTCTGGTCCAAAAACCTAGGACAACTGTCCTGTCCAGCTGGGGCAGACTGGATTTTCAGGGAGACTCTAGCACAGTGCTCAGTCTTGGTGGCTTTCCCTGAGACTGTCCTGGTCCATTCCTTCTCTTTCCCAACAAGGAAAAAGGATTGGATTTCTCCACTTTCTGTCATGTGAGGGAACTAGGGAGACCCGTGTTGCATTCTTGGTTTCCTCAGGGTTGGGACGGTTCGGCCAACCTACAGTGTATTCCACGGGACTGGGCCTCATGCAAGCACAATTTGGAAATTTCCTCTTTGGTCCTTACAGCTTGTTGAATTTTTAGAGTTCCTTGAGCCACAGAGACATAAAGCAGATGAGAACCTGTCCAGGGAATCATGGCAGCTGTCTCTGAATATCCCAGCCAGAAAATTAGCTATATTCAGCAAGAGAGGGCCTACTCTCTTAAAGATAAATAAATAAAACCAATTTCTTCATAAAGATCCCCAATTAGGACAGATGCTCATTTTCATACCCATTTGCTTCCTGTCTCCTGATATGTTTACCAACCAAAGGATTTGTTACCTCTCCTCCCCAACCCACGTTGCCCCTCTATAAAACCTGACCTTTTGCTAATGTTGGCCTCCCTGACGTCTGGGAGAGATGTTGGCAGCGGTTGCCAAGTTCATTAGTATTTGTCTGGGAGTAACTAGACTCTGCCAAATGGGCCAGAATACTAGAGACAGACTTCTGGGGCTGTAGACGTGAAGGCATCTACAGCTGCCACCTCACCTTGCTTCTCCTGCTCAGGCCTGGTTGCCACCAGACAGCAGTATTAAGCCATAATGGTAGAGCTTATTTTTCACCCCAGCCACAGATATTTGAGACACCACCCCTCCCCATTATTTCTTTGTTGTTGTTGTTAATTTATTTATTTTTAGTTTTCAACATCCACTTCCACAAGATTTTGAGTTCCAAGTTTTCTCCCCATCTCTCCCCTCCCCCCACCCCAAGATGGCATGCATTCTGAATACCCCTTCCCGCAGTCTGCCCACCCTTCTAGCCCCCCATTATTTCTAAAGGGTAATTTGGGAGAGGTGTGGTGGGACCCTTGCGAGGAGCAGCTGGCACCTGTCAGAAATGCTGATACCCTGAAAGTGTCCGTGAAATGCATGTGTGTGTGGTGCCAAGGCTGATTGGCACCCAGAGTGTGAACAGGTGGCCTCATTTAGGGGTGACAGAAGCTGTTTAGATCTCCCTGCTGTCATCTCCAGCCTTCTCCCTTGTCTTCTCAGTCTCTACTTGTTAGGAAAAATGGGGATATTTGTTTAGAAGGAGGGAGGAAATGTAGCTGACAGTAGTGATCTCAGCTACAGTATAAGGAGTAATAGTGTTTTCTCCTTAGCTCCTCATGAAGCTTTGCAAACCTTCTGAGCCTTCATCTTGCAGATGTACCCAGAGCACATATAAGCCCCTGAGAGGAGAAGTTGGTTGGGTAGCTGAAGTTGGGCAGCTGTGTGCCAGTAAATGCATGAAGGTGGAGCCGCTGCTGTTGTTCACTCATTCCGCTGTGACCCTGTGGACTGTACTGTCTGAGATTTTCTTGGCAAAGATACTAGAGTGTTCCACCGTTTCCTTCTCCAGAGCCCCTGTGAGGCCACAGGACAGAGAGGCACTGGGCAGCCTGGGCATGTATCTCTAGCCCCAATTTGGGTACAAAGCCCCCACCCTCCGGGCGAGAGAACAGGAGCCCAAAAGAGCCCATCATTACTTAGAGAAGGAAACACACTCTGTCCCTGACGGTCTGAACTGAAGAGGAACTTCTTCATCACCAGACCTGGGAAAGGAAGCTGTGGCTGACGGCTCTGAGCTATCTGAGGGAAGAACCGCCTGCTTTGCTAACAGATTCTGTCAGCAAGCAAGGATCTGTAGGAGATACCTGCAGCAGGACTTTGGAGGGAGGGAAGAAGCTAAAGACAATAAAAGAGCACAGCATGTCTTGTTAACTGTTCAGAGCTAGCATCATTAGTGCCAGTAGTGAATCCTGCATCGGTGACTCACAGGCTGAGTCAGAGGAGGTGGTGCATTTTATCCCATCAGTGGGACAGTGAGGTTGGAGCCTTCATGAATTTCTCTGGCTGCTGGGTGTGCAGATTAGAAAGGCTGGAGAATTTGACAAGAGGGGACGGCCTTAGAGGAGACTGACAGATGGGGAGACAGCTTATCTCCAGAGAGTAATCTGATGTCCCAAGGCGGGCAGCCACTCCGGCTCTGGGCAGGACATTGAGTCATGTGTTGGCAGTGGGACCCAGCAGGATAGGGGTGGTGCAGGGGCCACTCCTCGACAGCCGCCTGAGTATCAATTACTGACACATTCAGGAGTCTCAGGCTGTGACAGAACCAGGCAGCCTCCTGTCAGGACTTGATGTCCATCATCTGTCTGTCCTTGCTCTTCCACACTTCCCACTGAGGAGATCAGGGACTCTTCTCAGCCAGAGTGCTTGTCTCTAGGTCTCAATTTGAAAAGGTCATATCAATGAAATCCATCTTAGAACAGTTGGCATCCAGTGTCAAGACCTGTAATCTGCCCATTGAGCCGGCTGCATTTAAACTGGCTTCAGAATCAGTTGTTTCCATTCCAGAAAACCTATTTTGCAAATGTCCTCCTGGCCTGAGGCCCAAAAGGAAGTGGTCACTGTACACGGCACAAAATGTGCACAGAGCGAACAAATCTGTGTGGAGCCTTCCTCAGGCAGCGAAGGTTTAATGATACCTATACAGCAAAATGATGCTGGTTCATAGAGGCAAACAGGCCGCCTTCTGGGGCAGCCTGAACGATGGACATAGGAACAAAAATAACAAATTAACAACATGTTAGGCTCTAAAACCCTAGTCTGCCTTAGGACTCAGATGTTCTGTGCCACCCAACTTTTTGTCCCCAGGACCTCCTGACTTCATAATAACTTAGGGCTTTCCTAGGCCAGCTGGTGTAGGTGATCAGGCACACATTCCCAAGCAGCGATGTGGTCATCTCTTCTCAGGAGGTAGGGATGGAATTTATTGATGGGGGTGGGCAAGTGAGTTGGTCAGTCCTGTGATTTAGGAAAATCACTTCAGTGGCTGAATGGACAGTGGATGGGAGGGGCAGAGACTTGAGGCAGGCAGACCACTCAGTGGGCCATTGTAGTGATGGAGGTGTGAAGTGATGGCAGGGTCAGAGGAGAGGAGGAGGCATGTTCGAGAGAGGTTGCAGAGGTGAAATCAACAGGTCTTGGCAGCAGCTTGAATATTCGGGGTGAGAGATGGGGAGGATTCCAGGATGACTTCTAAGTTTCACTCCTGATGGACAGGGCAGGCGGTGTTGCCCTTGAAAGTAAGAGGGAAGAGGGAAATGAGTTCTGTTTTGGACATTGGCTTTAAAATGTCTGCTGGACATCCAGTTTGAGATGTTTGAAAGACATGCAAGACTGGAGGTCAGCAGACAGAATTCTGTGGGACACCTACAATTAGAGGGCATGATGTGGATCCAGATAGATAGACCAGTGGGATAGATAGGAGGACAAGCAGGAGAGGGTGTCCTGAAAACCTAGAGAGAAGAGAGAATTCAAGGAGGGGGAGCGATCAGCAGTTTCAGAGGCTGCAGAGAGGTCAGGGAGAATGAGGATCGAGAAAAGGCCATTGGAGTCAGCCACTGAGAGAGCATTAGTCACTTTGGAGAGACAAGTTTTCATGGAATGAGGAGGTTAGAAGTCAAATCCTCATTATTTTTGTTAATGTGATCATTGTTGAGGCTTCCCCACAAGGTATCTTGTTGACTGTACAAGCCAGTATAATTTTGCTTTGTAGGTATCCTGAAATCTTTGCCACCTGAGGAAGGTTCTGTAGACTCATTATTGAATATCTAAAAAGGACATCACTTCAGAAAGTTTGGAAACCTTTAAGATCATGTTAGGAGTTCAGAAGAGACCGAGTCCCTGCGGGACCTAACTGTTCCCCTTGCCCAAGCGCCTCAGTGGTTCTCTGCTGTGGATAATGGGCACACTGTGTTTTGGGCCTGGGCCCCTGGCCTGGCTCCAGCCTGTGTTCTTCTGCCTTCTGGCTGCCCCATCTAAGGAGAGCTACACCCTGAACAAGGCTTACAGCTTCCTGCGCTTTCATTGGTGGTGTTCCTTTCCATTAGAACATCTCCCTCCTCTTTCTGTCTCAACCTGTTCAAGCCTCCATCCATCTTTCCCAACCCAGATGCTGTCTTCTCCATGAAACCTTCCCTGGTCCCTAAAGTCTTTCTTCCTTTGAGTTAATTGTAGTAGTTGATGTATGTATCAGCTGCTTGTGGTCTAATTTGCATTCTGTTGATTATGCATAGATCTTACTACCCTAACTAGAAGTCCATGAGGGTGGCTGTCTTATGTTCTTTATCTTTCTCTCCTTGGCCCCTTGCAAAGTGCGTTGTTACCTTGTAGGCACTGAGCGAACACATGAATGACAGTTAAAGGAAGGCTTCCTGAAGGAGGAAGCATTTGAACTGATCCTTGAAAGATGGCTGAGCTGTCATCAAGTGAGAATGGGAAGAGAGTGAGCCTTGTGGTAGGTGGGTGAAGGCAAGGCATGTTTAAGGAGACTGATCTGAGTGTGTTCTGCCACTCCCATGGGCAAAGAAGCCTATCTGGGCCTGAAGAGTGGGGAGCAGGGGCAGCTAGGTGGCGCAGTGGATAGAGCACCGGGCCTGGATTCCGGAGGACCTGAGTTCAAATTAGGTCTCAGACACATAACACTTACTAGCTATGTGACCCTGGGCAAGTCACTTAACCCCATTGCCTAGCCAAAAACAAACAAACAAACAAAAACAAAACCCAAAATAAAAGAGTGGTGAACAGACAGGACTTGTCTGTCTTCTCTTCCTCAGGCCGTCCCTACCGAGGGAAGCCCAGCGACATGTGGGCACTGGGAGTGGTGCTCTTCACCATGCTGTACGGGCAGTTCCCCTTCTATGACAGCATCCCTCAGGAGCTCTTCCGGAAGATCAAAGCTGCTGAGTACACAATCCCAGAGTGAGTCACACCCACCCACTGGCATGCACAGGGACTTGCCCCAGGGGTGCTTGTCGGGAAGGAAGAGAAAGATTGCCAGGAGGCATCGTCTTGGCTGTGGAGACAAGGCAGGGTTGGGAGGCCCCAGAGCAGAAGCTCAGATGGAGGAGAGGGCAGTAGTCTGTTGAGCCCGAGCCAGGTCTCTGCCTGCCCTCCTGCCTGCGCTCGACCTTCTTCCCTTTTGTTCTCACTGTGCTCACCGAGCGGCCCATCACCACTGCACTGCCCCATGTGCTGAGCTCCGACTCAGATGCCCTCTCTTTGCTTTCCTCTCTCTGGGGCAGGGATGGCCGGGTTTCTGAGAATACCGTGTGTCTCATCCGAAAGCTGCTAGTCCTTGATCCCCAGCAGCGCCTGGCAGCTCCGGAGGTGCTAGAATCTCTTAGTGCCATCATCGCCTCTTGGTGAGTAGATCAGAGGACACATCAGAGAATCCTGGGCCCTAGCACCCAAGAAGGAGCGGGGAGGCGACCGGGCTTCCCAGACTGGCTGTGCTCAAGCACTGAGGTACAGGCTCCTTTTCTCATTCCAGTTTTCATCCCTAGCGTGGAGCAGCCCCGTACATTCAAATGTGAATGTGGCCTTAGGGAGCCAGTGGTGTGAAGTACTCTCTTATCTCAGGGGGAAGAAACATTCTTCCATGGTACAAAATCTGAGAAACTGAGGGTAGCCAAAATGGGGTACTTTGGACTGTAACCTCCCCCTTTGAGCTGAGGTGTCCTGTCCCTCATGCTCTACCCTGCTTAGACTCCATCTGACATTCACATTGGACGAGGGTCCCCAACACCCCTCAGAGAGAGCCTGCGGAAGAAGATGGGGATGTTGCTCATGGAGAAGAAAAGACCAGCAGTCATAATGACCCTTTTCAGTCTTTGAAAGGTCATAACTTGGAAGGAGGATTAGCCTTGTGTTTTTGCAAAACTAGGAGCTATTTGAAAAAATGAGGGCAGAGGATGATTTCAGTTCAATATCAAAAAAGAGTCTTCTAGCAATCAGGCTGGTAGTGAGCTCCCCATCCCTGGAGGTGTGAGCTCTCAGCCATGAATACTTTGAGTTAGATGACTTCAGGAAGTCTCCTCCGGCTTTGAGCTCCTCATATGTTAGGAGGCACATTCCACCCCCTAGCCCATTAGAGGAGTTTCTTTTCCCAGTGGCAGAAGGGGAATCCCACTGTCCTGGGCCTCAGGCAGGATGGCGGCGTGGGGAGGGCAGGTGTTGTAGCTGATGAAGGGTGCAGAACTCAGAAGGTCAGTGGTGGAGGAGAGGAAGGAGCCTCTGTGCTGCCCTTTGTCAGTACTCAGGTGGCCTCTTCTTCCTCTGTAGGCAGTCTGTGTCTTCACTCAGTGGACCTCTGCAAGTGGTTCCAGATATCGATGACCAGATGAACAGCTCAGACAGCTCCCAGGAGGTGAGGAGCCAGGCACCGCCTGGCCTAGCGGGCCCTGGTGGGCTGGGCCTGGGGCGGGCACAAGGGGAAAACTTTCTCCTGGGACCTTTTCCCAGGCCTGGAGTCACGGAGGGTGGGGGCGCCTGACTGGACCATTGCTTTGCCTTGTGTTCCCTGATCTCCCTTCAGACTTGGGCAGAAGAGTGCAGGGTTGGAGTTAGGAGGACACAGCCGTGGGAAAGCTATTGTCCTCCCTTGGCCTCGCTTTCCTCTTCTGTAAAATCCGTTGGGTACAGTTTCTCAGGCTCCCCCCAACTCAGAGATTTCTGTGCCCTGGGAGGCTGCGTGTTGAGTGGTGGCACTGCTGGCCCCCTCTGCAGAGAGTCAGCGCCCCAGTGACCCCGGGGAACCAGCCCGTGATTCCGGGTCCTTTGTTTTTGTTTTACCTCCGTTATTCCCAGCTGGCTTTGCTTTGTCTTGCCCTCCTGTGCTTGGAAACCTTTCTCTCCACCTCATTGGGCTTTCACTCACCCTTCCTGCTGTTCATCCTTTGAATGAGTCATTTTGTCCTTTCCTCTCCCATGTTGCCTATTGCTGGGGCAAAGCTGCGCTCCCAGCCCATTCGTTTTGGTCTGGAGATGCGCAGAATAGGCTTCAGGATATTCTAGCTCAGGACAGGTCGGGCCTCCCCTTGATGTTTGGGCAAAGGCAGGTAGGGCCAGCAGGCATCCTGTTGGGAGTCCCCACTTCTCCTATAGCCTAAGTCAGAGACACGAGATCAGGGCCAAGCCTCTCTACTGCGGCCCGGGGCAGTGGGGGAGGAGGGTATCACCGTCAGCCTGTCTCCTTCCCAGGAAACTCTGGCTCCATGCCGCCTGTGGGTGGATAAGGCAGAGCTGACAGCTTCCCCAGCATCCTGGGGTCACCGGGTGCAGAGATGGACTCTCCCAGGGAGGATGCATGTCCAGCCAGCAGTTGGGCCCACACTGGGCCCCTTAGGAAGACCTGTCCTGCCCTCTTGTGTGTGTGTCCTGAGGCTAGAGTCCAGGTCACGGCTGTGCTGCTTTGGCATTCCTTGGAAAGAAAAGAGGAGGAGAGTCCTAGTGCCACCCCTCCTCCTGATCCCCATTCTTCAGAAGAAGGAGATAGTGACGAGAGGGCTGGGAGATCTGGATCCTGGCTCTGCCCAAGTAAACTCTGAAGTTCCTGTCAGCTCTCAGAGTGTGAGCGTGGCACCTGGGGGCTCCAGAGCTTGGAAGAGGGGCTGGAGGGGCGTAGGTCATCACGCTGCCCAGAGTCACGCGAGGTGGGGGAGGGGGCCGGGCCAGCCTGGACCTTGGCTGATAAGGATTAGGGAAGTGCGCCGTTCCCCACCAGATTGGAACGGTTTCATGAGGAGGGACCCTTTCTTCTTTCCCAACCCAGGCCAAGGTGACAGAGGAGTGTTCCCAATATGAGTTTGAGAAGTACATGCGGCAGCAGCTGCTCCTGGCAGAGGAGAAGAGCACCCTGCATGAGGCCAGAAGCTTCCTGCAGAAGCGGCAGTTTGGGAGCGTGCCCCCCGTGCGGCGGCTGGGCCGGGACGCCCAGCCCATGAACCCCCTGGATGCCGCCATCCTGGCGCAGCGCTACCTCCGGAAATAGCAAGGGATGCTGCCCGTCCTCCAGCAACAGCAATAGCTCCCCCTGCCCCTGCCCCCAGGGCCCCCCAGGGCCCAGCAGGTGACCTCAGCTCTCCCAAGGCACCCCTGGTGGCCACTCGGAGGGAGGCTACTTTCTCCAGAGCAACACACTCTGCTGGTGTCTGGAACAATCGATCGGCTGTTTGTTTTTTAATCTGAAAAGCCTAGACAACTAATCTGCTTTTAATCATGACTTTTTAATCTACCTCTGTCTTTTTAACCAACCACGCTGTCTCTGGATTGAGTGCCCCTGGAGAGAGCCCTGGGCCCCCTCTCCTGGCAGGGTGGGCCGGGCAGTGGCTCAGAGGTGCTGCTCGGGGGGGTTTGAATAAGCTGAGTGGTGGGAGTTTGAGCAACTTCACTGTTTCTTAAAGCCTGTCTCTCCCTCCTTCCTGAGTCCCTCCCCCATCCTGACTTCCATAAGCTTCAAGAAACCTTTGCCTCATCTTAAACCTGGTTCCAAAATATTTATTTTTTTTTTAACTGAAAGGAGCTAGTTTCTTTCCACTTTCTCTGTGGCTTGGCCTGGGCCCCATTCCCCAAGCTCAGCAGTCACTGGGGGCACAGCCAGTCGTCCGTCTAACCCCACCAGACATTCAGACCTGCCAGAGGTGAGGGGACTGGTGGAGGGAAGCCACCAGTGCTCAGCACCCCTTCTGCCTCACACTTTGGCTATTCTCCTAAAGTATTTTCTTTTTTAAAAGGTCTTTGACAGTCTCTTCCTCTTTCTTCGTAGCTTATCTGAGGTGCCATACACTTGCATTACTTCTGATTTCACACCTTTACACTCATCGTGGTACACAGAGATCTACTATATATATGACTTACAATGTGAAAGACATTCCTCAGAACAGCCAATTTGAGATTTTGGCCGGGCGATGGGGGCAGTCTGCTGTCTCTGCTGTATGTTTCTCCTTGGTAGCTAGCGTGTGTGCCCGCATGTGCCCCTGGAGGCGGGGGCCTGGGTCTGGAATCCCTGGGGAGAGGTCTTGGGGAGGAGGGAGGCCCCGAGCTTAGAATAGCATCCATCCTTCCTTCCCTTTTTGAGCCTCTTGTTGTGAACTGGATGCCTGTCTTGCCAGATATACTGTTGTTGCCCCAAAGCCTCTCCTCTGATGCTTGCTCAGAGCACTGACCCATTCTCACCTAATCCTTTCTGGCCCCAGCATTGGCACAGTTAACAAGATGTCTGGGAGGCTGATACCCAGGGCCAGCCCTCAGCTCTTGCTCAGATATCCCCATTAGGGGGTAGGTTTTTCTCCTCCGTTTTCCCTTTCCCTTTTCCTCCCTCCCCTCCCCCTTCCGTCCAGTGAGAAGACAGCGTCCTGTGGCTGACAGGTCCCTAGCCTAGTTCATAGTGTCCCCATTTCTACAGTTGTAATTTGAAGGGCCCCTATGAGCTGCCCCTCCCCAGAGGCAGTGCAGAAGGAAGGAGAATCTGAGGCTGCCCATGTTTCTCTCCCTTATCCCTGGTTCCCCCCATGCTGACTCACTGTGAGTGACCTTGGGCAAGTTACCAAACCTCTTTGTGCCTCAGTTTCCCCATCTGGAAAAAATGGGGCCAACTCTTGCCAGCAAGTTAGCAGGGGCTACACCCTTTGTGGGCTGGGCTGGGGAGGGGGCAGCTGGCCCCGAGCCCAGCTGGAGTCTCACTCTCCTGGCCCTTTGTTAGCTTGATTAGTTGTTTTGGGGAGAGCTCTGTGTCTGTTCCGTGTCCCGGGTTTTCTTCATGTGTGTGAGCCCTCCCAGCCCACAGACATCTCGACGTGTCAAGCACTTAACCCCTCAGCACCAAGCAGCGCAGCGCATTCTGCGTCTGAAAGGCTGCGGGGAGGGGGAGGTCCAGGTTGCCAGCACCAGTGCAGACCCAGCCCAGCACTGGGGAAGGGGGTGCAGGGGGAGGAGTCTTGTTTTTTATATTTATTTTTAATGAAAAAAGCTCCAAATGGAGTAGAATCACAATCCATGAGTGCAGTGTCAAGTGGTGGTGGATGTGGGGTCCCCCCTCCCCTCCTGGAGCAGGGTGGCCTGGCCCAGGAGGCATCGGATGGTCCGCAGGCAGGCAGGCTGCCTGTGGCCCCCTCCCCTCTGCCTGCTTCCCCTGCGGCATCTCCCTCGGTTCTCTTCCTAGGAAAGGTCTGTTTCTTGGTGATGAGGGGTTTTTTCCCCTCCTTTTCAAAGCAATATTCTGGGGACTCTGCAAAGCTGTATCATACTGACTCTTCCTGTCCATGGTCAGTCAGCAGATGATGCTCCCAGGTTTATGTGACAGCAGAGGAGGGAGGGCAGGTCCTGGAGGTGGCCCTGAAGGGCTGCGGACCCCGGGGGCAGGGCCGCACTGGGCACAGGAGATGGCAAATGTGTCTGAGCTGCTTGTTTCGGCGTTAGTGAAATGACATGCTGAAGAGAAGGCTGTTGTAAAGAAACAAAATAAAATGTAAAAGTCACAAAAAAATTTGTATAAAGACCTATTTTTGTACTATATCAGAACTATTCCTGCATGTCTGCAATAAAATTTCCTAATGTAGAACCACCCCAGCTTGTGTGTCACTTATTGTTGCCCCGACAGCTTTGTGACTTTTTGCTCCCTCGTGGACGCCGGGTTTTTGCCTCTCAGTCGGGGACGGTCCAGTTGTCTACCTTCAGGGGCCCGGGAATCCCTGTCCCATCAGGCTGTGATATGCAGGCTTGGACACCAGAGGGCAGTGAAAGCCCCGAAGGGGGGAGGGGCGGCGCGGCCCTCAGCAGAACTCTGCTGCCCCAGGCCCGGTCCTGGCCCTCACCCTGATGGCTACCCTGATGGCTCTGGCTTGTCCCTTCCCACACCTGCTTCTGGGGTCCCTTTAGGGAAAGCACTTTGCTCCCCAAGTGTGACTGCTGAGGCCAAGCTTGGGAAGTGCCCGGGGCATGGATGCCTCCTCTGATGCTTGGCCATCTGGGGATGGTTGCCCTGGAGACATGAATTCTGTAGGACTTGGGGAAACACACCAAACAGGAGTGAGGTGGGGGCGGCTCCCTGAGTTAATAACCCGTGGGCTCTGCCCCACTAAGCGCTCCCAGGATGAGCTGCCTGCCCTGCCCACCCCCTCAGCTGGCCCTCCCTGCTCCTGGAGCCTCAGCCAGGCGGGGGCGGCAGAAATTGCAGGCAAGATGGAGCGCAGCTGGACATAATGCACGCATATGCATGAACCAAACAGGCTCTCTTCCTAGAAGCCCAAGACCAGAGGCAAGCCTTACCCATTCATCGCCTGTCCCTATGCCATCCTGGCGGGGAGCCAGAGATGAGAGCAATAGTTTACCCCACTCTTCCAGCTAGTGAGAAATGAGGGCCAGCACCCAGGCAGGCAAATGGGGGGAGCAAAGTCAGATCAGGGAGCTGGGCAAGCCAGCCTCCTGCCTAGCCCCCACCAGGCTTCCTTCCTTCTGTCCTAGCCAGCCGGATCAAGCCTGCCTAACTGTTAGACCAGCCCCTTCCTCAGCACGTAGTCCTACAGACAATCCCTCTTCTGCTCATCCCCTGGGCCTCCTTGAGTCAACACCCTGTTTATCTCTGGGTTGTTTTCACAGTCTCCCAAGACGTCTCCACTGCCCACTCCCACCCCCCCACCCCATCCATTCTATACATGCTGCCAGGCTTACCATCCTAGTATAGCTCCAATGATCCAAATCCTTCAGGGGATCCCTATTACTCACCTGATAAGGTCTAAATAACCTGGCACAATATGATGCCACCCTCTCTTTGTAGTCTAATCTCATGCTGTTTGCTGTCATATTCTAGATGGGCCATACGGAATGCTCCCCACAGATTCTATCAAGATGAGCATTGCACATTGAGACAGATTCTATAACATTACACTGGCAAAGAGTGACAAACTCCACAGTTAGATTCTACAAATGGAGAAGGCTTTGCAAACAAGGACTATCTTGTGTACCTTTGTATCCCTTACAGGGCCAAACCCAAGGCCTTCAATGTTAGCTGGGTGACCTTGGGCAGGATCCTTCCCCAATCCGTGCCTTAGTGTCTTCATCTATAAATGAAGGATTTTGACTCGTTAATTTCTTTTTTTGGAGGGATGGGGGTGGAGGCAATTGGGGATGAGTGACTTGCCCAGGGTCACCCAGCTAGTAAGTGTCTGAGGCCAGATTTTAACTCTTCCTGACTCCAGAGCCAGTGCTCTATCCACTGTTCGATGTAGCTGCCCCGGACTCATTGACTTCTAAGGTCTCTTCCAGATCTATGATTCTAAATGAACATTCAAATGTATTCCTTCCTAGATTCACACCCACTTGCATGCAAAAAGGCACACATCTGGGGCTGGTCCGTCTACCTTTTCTTCAACAGAGTGTGAACTCATGGAAAGCAGACTCCTTAAAGGAAAGACCCCCTCAAGCATTCCACAGCCAGCCAGATTTGGCAGCTCACTCCCAGCCTCTTTTTTTTTTTTAATGTTTGATATCTTTATTTTGATTCCACTTACATTTTCCCAATATATCCCTTCTTCCACTTCACAGGTGCACTTCCTCAAGCCTCACTTTTCCCAGTGTCAAATGAAGTTTGGCCTAGGTAACTTCCAATATCCCCTCTAGCTCCAGATCTGTGATCTTAACATTTTGCATCAGTTCATCTAAGTCTTCTCACTGCTTCTCTGCTCTTCATACTCATTGTTATTTACATCATAAGCCATTACTTGCATGCTCTACAATTTAACTATTTCCCAAGAGATGGATAACTGCTTTGTTTTCAGGTTTCTGCCACCACAAAACAAAACCTGCTGCTACGAATATTTTTGGTGTCCAGGGCGCCTTTCTGTCTTTGATCTCCTTGGGATACATGCCTAGCCATGAGATCTCTGCAAACATTCCTAACACTGATCACAGGGGCACTTACTTGGTACATGTGGTCTTTGCTAGAAAGTAATGATGTGGGGAGGCAGTGGGTGGTCATTGGCCTTCTTAATACCATCTCCCCAAAATGTGTGTACATATATGTATGTGTGTGTGTGCGCGCTTGTGCATAATAAACCTTTCTTTGGAGCTGTGTTTTTTTTTATAGACCTCTGAGGTTCCATCCAGCAACAAAATTCAGCGATTCTTTGATAGGGCTAAAAAAACTTTATAGGCCAGCCAGCTTCTCTTACCTGCAAGCATGCATACAGATTGCTCTTCGGTGAGGGCCTTGGTCACTGTTTGCAGACTCTTGCTATTTGTAGAGTCAATCTCTGCTGCTGATGAGCCTAACCCTATTTACAAAGCCCAACATTTCTTGGCCAGCTGGCACTGTTTGCAAAAATCTGACCCAGCATATAGAATCTGAAAGTAAGCAGTTGATCACGGTTAGCAGAGCCCCATCATTATGGAATCTCTCTGTGCTGACAGAGGTTATCTGTAGGATCTGTGAATATTTGAGGAGCCTGTTGCTGTGCTGGGCGCACCCACCTTGGGGTGTCCCAGCCAGCCATGCCTGGATTTGGGGGCTTCAGGTTGCTGGCACAGCGGTTTTTCTGCCTGCCTCCATCTTCAGTGGCTGGCCCCTGGGTGCTTGGGGATCCTTCGTCTGCATGTGCACCATCTCTTTAACTGCCTCGGGCCCATCAAGCATCCCATAAGGTCTGAGAGACTGGCTGGTACTTAGCACCCACCAGAGGATTCTTCACCCTAGGGCTCAGATAGTGGGGAGCATAGGGGAGAGTCAGAAGAAGAGCTGTATTTAGGTAAGAAGAGAGCTCAGAGGTCATTGTCAAACCCTCAGTGTACAGATGAGGAAACTGGGCCTAGAGAGAGGCCTCAAAATGACAAGACCCCAGGTTATACAACAAGATAAGAAACCCAGCAGTCTCCTGACCACTAGGCCCCACATGTCTCTGTTCTACAAGGACACCATTCATTCCTTTGATAAAGCTCAAACGCTATTAGGAGAATGTGTAGTCCTCGGCCTTCTTCTCTTCCCGGACACTGTGTATCCTTTCACATTATGAAGGAATTGGTCCCCAGTTAGCTAGCTATACGGTGGATAGAACCCTGGGCCTGGAGTCAGGAAGACCTGAATTCAAATCAAGCCTCAGACATTTACTCGCTGTAAGACCCTGGGCAAATCATGTGCTTTGTCTGCCTCAGTTTCCTCAACTGTAAAATGGGGATAATAGCACCTACCTTCCAGGCTCATCATAAGGCTCAAATGAGGTAATATTTATAGAGTGTTTAGCATGGTACCTGGCACACAGCAGATACTTAATACGTGTTTATTCCTTTCTCCAATAAAGTTGCTGTTTGAATCAGGGGAGTAATTTTTCTGGTGGGAATTTAGAAATAAGTAGCAGGGAGGAGAGGGAGTGGCAGGGGAGGGGAGAGTAGTGTTAAACTGATGAAGAGGATGCCCCCCCAAAATGGAGTTGGGGGGGCAGGACTCCTAAGGTCAGGGCTTTTTTATGCTTATAGTATTCAGCCTCTAATTTGGCAAGGATCTTAGACCTTCAGCTGTTATTCCATTAGGCTCATAGGAACATAATATTAGAGTTAGAAGGGACCTTAGAAGTAACCCAGCCCAAAGCCACCCCCCCATTTTACAGATGAGAAAACTGAGGTCCAGAGAGAATGACTGGGATCTTGTAACCCCAGTCTGAGTCCTGTGCTGAGAGACTAGGGAAAGAGCTCTGGCCTGGGAGTCCACGAGGCCTGGGTCCTAAGTATTCTGGGCTGCCCTGAATTCATTCCTGGTCCCTGGGGTGGAAGTGGCCTAAGTCAGACCACCTAGCCCCTAGCCCACCCCTGTCTGTCCTTCCTGGCTGTATCTTCCTCACTGCCTTGAAGTGAGAAGATTACTCAGCTAAGCTAGCTCACCAAGAGAAGTCCTCCCCAGCCTCCATCCAAGCCTGTTCCTAACATGACCCCATCTCTGAGGGGGGCCTGGGCTGAGGCAGGGAAGGGGCCCCTAGCCCCGGCCCTTCCTCCCCACTCAGGGCAGAGCTGGGGGCCTGGACGGAGCCTGTGGGAGCCTCAGCTATGTTAACAATTTCCTCCATTCCTCTCCCCCTTTCTATCCCCCTTCCCTCAGCCCCACTCTCAATAACCCAATGGGCCACCCACCCTCCCCCATGTTCCAAACACATGGAAGGACACCACCTCCGTGGGCTTGGGACAAAGTTTCAACTCCCCATGATTCATGTGCATGTGGACGGAAGTTAGATGCAAATGCACCCCAAACTATTAAGCACATTAGTGCAGATATGTGCACAAGAACTCGCTGTCCTGAACAAGCTTACACACATTTACACACTCACCCATGCACACACAGACATAGCCTGCAGCTCTCCAGCAGCCTTAGGAATGGAATCCAGCAATCATTAACCCCAGACTGGCCCGGGCTCAGCCAGGCAGACACATTCCCTACTCCCCCCTTCCCCCCCAACCTGAGCAGGCCTCCTGCTGGGCCCCTGACCCTTCCCTCCCCTTGCCTTCTACTACCTCCCCACCCAGATCCCAGACTTTGGGCCGGAGGAAGGAGAGGGAGAATTCCCCTTTGCTCTCGGATTGTTGGTTCCTACCTCCCCCAGGTCTGGCATCTGAGTCTCATCCCCTCAATAAGCTGTCCCGTGGGGATGCCCGAGCTTCCAAGCCTGAGGTTTTGGAAGGGCTGGATGGGGCTCGGGGACACTGAGGTGGGGGAGATGGCGTGGAAACTGTCTGAAATTGGGGGGGGTAATGGAACTCGGGAGAGATGAGGCTGGGAATGGGGGCTTCTGAAGTTTGGTGGAATGAAGTCGGGCTGGGGGGGTTCTTAGGCTCAGAGTCGCTCTGGGACTTGGAGGTGCTGAGGTTTAATGGAAGGGTGGGGCCTGGGGGGATGGGGACTCATGGAGGAAGGAGGGCCTGAGGATTTCTGATGCTTAAAAGACAGATGGAAGCCCTGCGGCTGGGAACATCGAGGGGCTCCCGAGTGGTGGTGGGGGGAGCCTGATGGGGCGGGGAAGAGCGTTCTCTGGAGCTTTCGAAGGTCTAGAGGTTCGCCACGCAGTGAGGACGGGTCTCGGATGAGAACTGTGAGACCCCAGAGACGGTGATAGAGATGGGACTGGCCAAAGCGCAGCAGACACTCCCCTTTCCTCCCTCCCTCCGTCCCTCTCCAGGGCCGCCTGGGTTCTCCAAAAGCCAGTTTCCTGTGCCGGGGGTGGGGGTGGGGATGGGGGTGGGGGGCGGGGCGGGGGCTCTCTCCCCTCCCTTCCCCCCTCTTCCTTTCCTCCCTACCCCTCCTGGGCCCTCCTCCTTCCTCAGAGGAAACTTTCCGTCCGCTCCGTTGGCGGCCGGGCCGCGGCTCCAGCGCCCCCAGGACTGCCTAACCCACCGCCGGACGGGGCGGACAGAACTTCCTCTGTTCCTTTCCCGCCATGGAGGCGCTGGGCAGGTCTGGGGGCGCTCCCTGAGCTGAAGCTGTGGCTGGAGCTGCTGAGCTGCGCCGGTGAGTGAGGGGGATCTGGGGCCCCGGAATCCTGGGTCTCCACGCCTGCCTAAAAGGGCAGGGTCTGCGGGGTGTGCCGACTACCCAGCAGGGAGGGGGTGAGGCACTATCTTCAACCCAAAAGGATTCCCGGAGGGCAGCCCCTAGCCTAGACTCTTTTTAACTATCCCTCCGGGGGGAAAAAAAAACCCTCCGACCTCAGATGGCCCCAATCTCCCAAGAAGATGCCTAAAGCTAGCTCCCAATCTTTAAATTACTCCCCTTCCTCAGAGCGCCCAACTACACACACACTCCCCACCCCCAAGATCCGGGCCTCATAGACCCTCCCAACAGCCCTTTCCTCCATCCCCCAACTTCAGTCTCAGCCCTGCAGGAGTGACCTCCTGCAGGAATTTGGAGGATCTTGCCCTCCCCCCTCCCCACAACCCCCCAAGGGAGACAAGGAGGAGAACTGAGGCTAGTTTTCCCTTGGTTTCCCTTGGAAATGGGTACCAAAGCCATCTGTGGTCTGGAGCGGGGCAGCCCTGCCTCATAGGGAGAGGCTTCCAGTATGTATGGAGGGGCTTATGCAGAGTGAGGGGAAGGGTATGGGATAAGAATGCCTGGGTTACCCCTTTGGTTTTGAAGGGGAGATGGGGTCAGAAAGCCCAGGTTATCCCTAAAGCCTGGAAAAGAATTGAGCGTAGGGATTGAGAACCAGGGTTCCAGCTTCCCCACCCCCTCTCCTCCCAATTCAAGAGTAATGCAGGCTTCTTGACCCTCAGTCTGTTGACCTTACAGACCTATTCAAGGGCCTTCCACCCTCTACCCTCCTCCGAAGAAACATGGAGGCCCGGAAACGGGACATGGAACTGCTCAGTAATAGCCTGGCAGCCTACGCATACGTCCGAGGTGAGTGCTGGATATATAAAGAGGGCTTCTTAACTCTTACCCCAGCTGCCCTTACTTCAGAGCCCCTGATGGACCCTAGATAATCCATCATTTGTAGAATGGAGAGTCTATTCTTATCGTGAAGCTAGAATTCTAGATAGCTCACAAACCCGGATATTGGAACTTCTGGAGTCACTGGCTGCCAGGGTGACCATGAGCCGATGGAGATGAGGGAGGACAGGGAGGGGACTAGCTCCTTGACTGGCCCAGTCAGATTCAGGACCCCAGTCTCATCTTGCCCACCCCTAACTTTTCCAGATCATCCTGAGAGTTTCGGCCTCTACTTTGTTCTGGGCATATGCTTTGGGCTCTTGCTGACCCTTTGCTTGCTGGTCATTCGGATCTCCTGCCGACCCCACCCTAGGCCTTCTGGAAAAGGTCCCCAAAAAATCTCCCGAGGAGACCTCCCTGATGGGGATGAGGACGAGGACGAGGATGAGACGGACACCATGACGCGGCTGGGCCCTGATGATGCTGGGTCAGGCCCAGAACTGACCCCGGAGATGGACAGTCCCCTCAGTGTCAATGTCTTCACCTCAGCGGAGGAGCTAGAACGAGCCCAGCGGCTGGAAGAGCGGGAACGGATCCTTCGGGAAATCTGGCGTACTGGGCAGCCCGACCTCCTCGGCACTGGCACTGGCACCGTGGGCAGGGTTCATTATTACTGACAGGCCTCCCCACCTGCAAGGGACTCTGGGGACTGACTTGCAAATGAGCCACCTTTCCCTTAGAGGCTAGGGGAGGACTCCCTCCTGCTCCTCCCTCAGGCCTCTAGACTGGATCGATTCTCTTCCATGGTGCTAAGGCTGGACTCCCTCTTGGGGAATGAGGCCCTCAATTCCCTTAATGGATCCCAAGGAGTAGGGATAGGAGGAAGAGGAGTCTCTCTGCCCTGGGAGCTTTAAGGAGGTGACCAGTGAAAACTGCCTCATCAGCTCTTCACCTCTGTCCTCTTCATGCGTGGCCCTCTGCAGAATAAACTTTCAGGGCTGATCTTCAGGTTTCTGGGGAGCACACTGGGGTCAGTTCCTAAACTGTTTTCCTTCTCTCTTACTTGGGGAGAGTAGGAACTGAAGTAGCTCCCCAGAGAAGGGGACCCCTAGGCTTCCCTTGGGCTCATGCGGGAGCCTGGACTGAAAGCTGAAAGAGGATATGCCCCCAGTAGTTCCCAAGCACTGAGAAAGCCGCCTCCCTCCCACAGACCTCCCTCCCCTCCCACCCCAAACCTACTCAGCAGACCTCCCTTAGAAAAATGTTTTGTTCCTTTTCTACCACGCCCCTATTTCCGCCTTCTTTCCCAGGCTTTGGAAGGACACTGACCTTGAGGGCTTGGCTAAGATTAGCTATATGTAGCGTAACTGCCTGCTGTGTAATAGTGTCTTCATTGGGTTTGTGAAATTGTATCTAAAGCCGTGGGGATAACGTCCTTTCCCCTAAGGGAAAAGGGGTGATGTGTGTCTGAGGCAGTGATTGTGGTTGTCCTCGCTTCTAAAGAGGCATGGGATGTCTGGGGTGATGGGGTTATGTTGGGGGCGGGGAGAGTGAACTGCGTGGATCAAGTTCGCAGTGAGGATTGTGGTGTTTTGGGGGGGTGTTGCGGCTGAGTTTCTGCAATTCTGTGTTGAGGTGGGGGCCTGTCGCGTTCAGGGTGAGGAATATGTATAGCTGTCTCTCCTGGGCCTCCCCAGATGTGTTCCGGGCTGGGCTTTAGAGACCGGGTTTGGGGGAGGGCCGAGGCAGGCCTAGGCCCCACGAACCCCCTTCGGCCCCCTGGAGGAGGTGGAGCCGCTTCCCACGTGCCAGACCCGGCCAGTCCCTCTCCAGCCCAGCCACGTCCGGGCGGATAAAAATAGCCGCGCGTCCCTGGCGCTAATAGGAGCCACATGTTCGCCAGATGTGCCAGTAGGCTGAGAAGAGGGGGACAGAAAGACACGCCCACCGGGAGGCCGGAGCCAGCAAAGAAAGCCTCGCACCCTCCCCAACTAACCCCGCCCCTCAGAGGCACTATTACAAATACAATTTTATTACACTCTGTTTCTGATACGGGGGGCGGGGGCGGGGCGGCGTCCGGTATGGGTTTTTTGAGGAGGGGTTAAGAGGAGTCCTCGGGGCGGGGCGCAAAGAGCCCCGGCCAGTCTCATGCAGAGAGTTTGGGGGGCCCCAGCCACAATCCCCATACTCTCACCCGCAAAGCCCCGAAGGGGAGAGCGCGGGGGGAGGTGTTGCTTGAGGTTCCCCCCATGGGGAAGGGGTGGGGCGGCCCCTCAGGAATGGGGAGGAGGCGAAGCCTGTGTCCGTGGGTAAGGACAAGCCCCCTCCGGCCTGGGCCCTACACCAGGTTGGTCTTTGATTTCAGCATCTCGAACTCAACCTCGGGTAGGGAAAAGAAAAAGAGAGGAAGGCCGCGCCCCCAACAGACCTCCCCTCCCCTCCCCAACATACCCGACCCCCGAAAGATCTCGCCTGCACCACTGCCCAACAGGTCTCTTTCTTCCTCCTCTATGCTCAGGAATCGAGACCGGATTGGAATAAGTAATGCCTGCCTCGGGTTTCCGGTGCCCCCTTTATAGGACTTCTCCCCATTCCGGGATCCCCTTCGTCCCCCTCACCTGCAGTTCCAGTCTCTGCTCCCGTTCAGTTCTCAGTTCCTCCTGGATTTCTGACATGTCCTTTCTGCCGACAACAGCCAAGCTCAGCCTCAGCCTTCACTAACCCGTCCCACAACTCTCTGGATCCAGACCAGGAAGGTGCCATCTCATCCCCCTTATTTATAGGTGTGGAAACTGAGGCCCAGAGATAATGACTTAATCAAGGAAATATGGCAGAGCCGAGATTCAAACCCAGGTCCATTGACGCCAAATAAGGGTGGGGAGGAAGGTTTCCCTCTTCACTAAACAGTCTCTCCCTGCCCCATCTCATTCTCACTCGCACTTCTGCCTCCCCTCTTCGGTCATTCCTCTCTTCCCTCTCTCCTCTTCCCCTCCTTCCCACCCCGTCTCTCTCAGATACTCACTCCTGCTGTGACATCAGAAGCGCCAACATCTCCCTCAGAGAAGCAACTTCAGCCTCCACCTGATCCATGCGGTCTGTCAAGCCACTCAGGGTGGTCTCTGACATCTCTATCTCCACTGACTGCTCAAAGTCAGCTGCTCCTGTGGCTACCTGAGAGTCGGACAGGGGCTGCTCTGGGAAGGGTGTCTTGTCTGGGGATGCTTTTTCTGAAGAGAGTTGGCCTGAAGAAGGTGGCTTGTCCACAGAGAGGGGGTTGACTGAGGTCTTGTCCTTGTCTGTGGAGGTCTGACTGGAGGTCTTGTCCTCTTTTTTTTGTCCGTGGACAGGGTCTTGCCGGTGCTCTTGTCAGGGGGGAGGAGCTTCTCCGTGCAGGGGGTTTGGTCCCAACTGGCAGTCTTTTCATTGTGTTTCTTCTCCCGGGAAGGTGCCTTATTGTGGGATGATTTATCCCGAGAAGCAGCTTTATCTGAGGCCTGCTCTTTGGTCCTGAGGGGCTGGCTCTTTGTCAAACTGGGCTTTTCTTCCTCTTGTCCCTGGGAGAAGGGAGGTTAGAAGGGAAGAAAACGGAAAGCCCTCGTCCCAGAATAGTAAGTGCCAGTCAGGGGCTTGATGGGGGCGGGGGGACTCCATCCTGGGAAAGATTCGAAGTTGCTAAATCCTGGTCTCCCTAGAACCTTCTCCTGCCACCTGCCACCTGCCACCCCCCTGGTGGGCCAGATGTCCACCAGCCATACCCCCTTATGGACCTCCAGGCAGTCTCCAGCCCAGCCCTGTCCTCTCTTCAAGGTGGTAGTAGGGGCAGCTAGGTGGCACAGTGGATAGAGCACCAGCTCTGAAGTCAGGAGGACCTGAGTTCAAATTTGACCTCAGACCAAACACTTGAGATTTACTAGCTGTGTGACCCTGGGCAAGTCACTTAACCCCAACTACCCTAAAAAAAAAAGGTGGTGGTGGTGGTGGTGGTAGTTGGGGCAATATAGGGGCCTGGGGATCCTCACAGGAGTGGGGGTCTGGTTGAAGCTGGGGGGATATGGACCCTGAGGCTTCCACCGAATATGGCTGGAATGAGCCTTCTTGGAGTCATTTATGATATTGTTTCTTCTGTCATTGCTTTTGCCCGGCACTGGCAAAGTCAGAGAGATGGTCACTGTGCAAGGAGACAGACAGGGAGATTCATTGGTATCTAGAGAAGTTTAGTCCTCTCTAATATAGTGTCTAAACCCGAACAATAGCTTCCATTTAGAGAGCAAACCCTCAGATTTTCCTTGCATTATCTAATTTGGGAGGTAGGGTGGTCCTACAAGTTTTTTCTCTCATCCTTATAGACAGGGAGAGAGAAGAGTTAACTGACTAGTTTGTGGTCACAAGGGAGAGAGGCAAGGGCAGGATTGATGGGATCAGGGAGCTTGAGAGGGACCCTCAGAGGACCATGTAGTCCAATACCACCCCCCTCCATTTTACAAGTCCAGAGACTCATGAGAAGCTTGCCAAGGTCACAAAGGTAGGACGAGGTATTTGAGTCTCTGTAATTCCATATCCCACTGCAGCAAACTGTCTCCTCCATACTCCTCCTTCCGTTTCTCCATGGCATCCCACCTATGTCCCTCATTCTTCCCATCACCCAACCCTTTGCATTTGTTTCTTTTCTTTAGTCCTTAGGCTTCCTGTCTGAGGACTCAGTGTCAAACTAAAGTCACTCCCAAGAACGTAGGACCTGCTTGGGCTCACCTCCTCCTGGTCCTCCTCCTCCACTTCCATCCCATCCTCCTCGGCCACCACCACCACCTCTCCTCCTCCCTCCTCCTCCTCCTCCTCCTCCTCCTCCTCCTCCTCGCTCTCGAGTGCTCTTCAGTTTGTCCCCAGTTGATCCTGCTGCCAGGGGCCTAAAATATACTCAGATCCCTAAGACTTCTCACCTTGCCATCTCTCAAGCCCAGACCCAGTGCCCTTGTTTCTTGGGGTTGGGGTGGGCAGGGCCAGCTCTTACTGTAGGCTCTTCTCTCAGCCCCTTGGGACAGATACCTGGGGGTGAGGGGCCGAGGCTTGGAGGGCCTATTAGAGGCTGAAGACAGCTTTTTGATGGGGGGCAGAGTGATTTTAGATTCCATCTTCTTAGACTCCTTAGCAGCTGGGAGAAAAGAAGTAGGGAGAGGACAGCCACTAGTTCATCTATCCCTCTCTCCCCCATCTCTACATCTCCCATGATCTGTCATTGTCCCTTGCTCCCCACTCCAAATTCCCCCCCACCCCATTTCCCTTTTACCTCTTGTTTCCTTGGATGTCTGCCTCCTCCCACTGGAGACATGGTTTTCTCGACCAAACACTGATGCGAATACAGGTGGGAATCACACTGAGAACCCAGAGCCCCTGCTCCCTCCCACCCCTACAGCCAGGCCTGCACAGGGAAATAGGAAAAAATGGGACCCTTCTCTTGTTGGGGAGGTGTGTGTGTGGGTGTGTGTGTGTTCGTGTCTTGGGGAGGGACAAGTCATATTCATGGGTGATCAAGGGGCTTTCTGGAGCTTCCCGCCTACTCTGTTTCAGAGCCTAGAGGAACAACAACGGGACTGGGTGGGTAGGCACTTCTCCCCTTCACAGAGGTCACTACCTGATTCCTGGGGACTCGGCCGCCGGGCTGGGAGCTTCTTAATCTAAGAAAAAAAGTGTTGGGGGTGGGGTCGAATTAGAGGCCCAGTTATATCTTCCCACAGAGGTGGAGTGAGGAAGAGTATGTACGATTAGGAAAGGACTTCACACTTACCGGGGGCAGCAAGAGAACAAAATTGTCTGGAAAAACTCCTCTTTTGCCTTCAAATTCCCCCTCCCACCAGCCAGGGTCCTCTGTGGTCTAGGAGAAGATTGGGTAGATAGTGGAGGTGCTGTGGTCTTCCATACCCAGGTTCCCCGACCGTAGGCTCAATCTGCTTCAGCAGTCCACTCGCTCCCAACTCCCTCCTCACCTTTCTTTCTTTTTCAAAAAATTTAATTAATTAATTAGTTAATTAATTAATTTTTCTCACCTTTCTTAATACCTTCACCACAGTACCCCTCTGCAGGGCCAGCTCATCGGGTGCCTCAGGCTCATAGTCAAACAGAACTCGACAGCTCTCAGTTGCTGGGTCAGCGGTGGGTGAGGGTGTCAATCACGGGCCTGGGAGCTCCCTTCTCTTGGGCCCCTCCCTCCCACCTATGGCCACCTATGGTCGAGACTATGGGCAAGGAATTTGGGTGTATGGGGGGTATCCCATAAGGATTACTCACCTGTTTTGGGGTGTACAGGAGTTTCTTCTTGGGTCCAGGTCGGCTGGGAGGTAGGGGCAGGTATGGAGGGATGGAGTCTCCTCTTCCCCAGCTCCTCCAAAGAGCCGGAAGCTCAACCCCTTCTCCCCCCAAATATTCCCATTCCCCCATTACCTTCGGGGAAGAATGGGCCACTCCAGTGGCCTTGGGGACGACATCAGGGATCACGGCACCTGGGAAAGATCACGGGGAACTACAGGGGTGTGGGACATTGGTGGCCACAACAGAAAGAGAGTTTCTGGAATTGCGGGTGGGCAGGAGGTGAAGGATTCAGGTAGGTCAGGGGTCTAGAATTATGATTCAGGGGCTAAGGAGCAGGGAGGTCAGTAAATTGAAGTTAAGGATTCATGAATAGGGGGTTCACCAGGGAAGGAGTTGAGCATCTCACATAGGGGTCAGGGACTCTCACCAGAGGGCTTATAGTCCAGTTCTTGCACAAAGTTAGAGGGAAAGGCCCCCAGTTGCCCATTCTTTTTCCCCAGCCACCAACCATCTTCAATCTGGAGAAATGGCCCAAGTAGACAGACCCAAGGGTATCAGCATTCCGTCATGCACACTAGTCTGAAACCTATGTCCGGAAGCAATGTCAGTGGTTCTCTCCTCACCTCTCGAAGCACCTGGACCATCTCCCCAGCCTGGAGCTTTAGCTCGTCGGGCTGTTCTGGGCTGTAACTAAAGTTCACTTTACACCATCGCTGGGCAGTTGGAGGTCCCCCGGGCTGACCTGGGAGGTGGGTAGCAGAGCTTTGGGTCAGGGGTATGGGACCTATACTGGAGGCCCTCTCCTATCCCCTGCCCTGGCCCCTGGGGCCCTTACAATAGTAGGGGGGATCCATGGCCAGGGGGAGGGCTCAGGGGCCGGAGACACCCCCGCCCCCCTCTCTCTGTCCCTCCCCCAGGCTCCGAGGGAGCGCTTGGCCCCTCCCATCCCGAGCCCCAAGCGAGTCCCCATTGGTTGGGAAGGCAAGACCCCCATTGTGTGCGGGGGGGCCAATGGGGCGGGGTGGGGTGGGGCCCACGGTGACCCTGCCCCGCCCCCCACCTCCGTGGTACTAGGATAGGCTATGGACAGGAACTCTGTCTCCGCCTGTCCAAGTCCAGACCAGCCCCACCTGAATCCCACCTCGGCGCGCAGAGCGGGGCCTCCGGGGGCCTCCGTCGTCCCGTAGACTCTCCGGGATCTCCTGGCGTGAAGGCAACGGCCAAGGGTCAGTGGAGGCGACTGGACGTCACCCGGGCTGCCCCCTGGCCCCGCCCGGCCTCAATCTCACCTGGACGATGAGCTTGGGAAAGAGACCACGGCGCCCAGCCAGCTCCCCCAGGAACCAGCCGTCCTCGGACCCCTGGCTCACTTCCCGAAGCAGGTCTCCGGCGGCTAGGGTGAGCTCGTCCTCCGTCTGAGCCTGGTAGTCCTCCAGCACCAGCACCTCTGCGTGCGAGGAAGGAAAGGATGAGGGGACCAAAGCCCTCCGACCGAGACCTCCCCCCGGGGAACGAGGAGTCCGAAAGAACGTGACCCCGAGGGGACTTAAGCCGCACATCTACAGTTGGAGAGAGTCCCTTTCACAGATGGGAAAGCTGAGGTCTGAGAGAAAGTTAGTCCTCAGCGAGACGAGTTTCATGCCTTCCTCCAGGCCCCTCCCGCCCGTTTCGGGGAGTCGGGATTCCCAAAGTGCACCCCCAACTGAACCTTGTCCCTCCCGCACGTACCCATGGCGTCCGGGGGTTCCAGGGGCTGGGCTGGCTCGACTCCGCGGGTCAGGGGAAAGGGGAAGTCACTCCTGGGTTAAAGAGTTGGGCGGAGTAGGGCGGGCCGCCCGCAGGTGACCGGGGAGGGGGGGGGTCGGGGGTGGGAACGGGCCGCGGAGACTAGAAAGGCCGGACTCGGTGTCTCTGGGGCTCGCAGCTTGGGGAGGAAAGGGGGAGGACCCTGCTCAGCAACTTCTGCCCCCCCAACTCCCACCTCCAGGGGAAAGCGAAAGCCCCTCCCCTCCAGCCGATTTGTGGGGTGCGGCGGTTCCCCCACCTACGCCGGCCGGCGCAGCCTAAAGGCGTGGGAATATAGTGGGCGGAGACAGAGGCTGACACCTTTTTTCTTCCCAGACTGCTAGGTCAGTTGTGTCTCCCCAGCTTCGGTCCTTAGCACAACTCGACAGACCTGGGTCGGGGTTTTCTGGTCTGTCTTTACCAGCTAACCAAACAGGTGACCGGAAGAAAGCCTACCAAACAAGGTGAAGGATTTGCAGGCAGAAACTGACTTTAATTGTGGACCGGACGGTATTTGAGGACCTGCAGAGTACAGTCGGTCTTAGTGTTCAGGTTTGTTTTAAAGAATTCCTTGAGGGGCAGCTAGGTGGCGTACTGGATAGAGCTCTGGCCTTGGAGTCAGGAAGACCTAAGTTCAAATGCAGCCTCAGACACATAACACTCACTAGCTGTGTGATCCTGGGCAAGTCACTTAACCCCAACTGCCTCACCCCCCAAAAAAAAAAATTCCTTGAGAGTGGGGCCTCCAAGGATTTGCTCCAACTGCCGGTTCACCTTTGGCCTTAGCCTTTGACTTAACCACCGCACCTACCACATCCACTCCCATCACGGAATGAGTCCAAAGGTGTGTGGTATTGGTTTCCATCAGTTGTGCAGTTGGGGGAGTGGAGAAAGGGTGTCTCTCTTTGAAGTGAAGTCATTCCAGCTAAGAACTTGCTAATGTGTTGACGGTGGTAGTGGAGAGTCCTCTAGGCAGGAGAGCCAAGAGCAGAGTAAGGGAAGGGGACTGCTGATTAAGAAACTGCTGCATGCTAACTCTGGTGCCCCCCAAGGAAGGAAAGAGAAAACAGGCCCCTGGAGAGGCTGAAGGGGGCACAGTAGTCTTTACACGGTGCTCCCACCAAGTCCCCATTTCTTGGGCTAGATGCTAGTTCATGTTTTTAAAGGCTTAGCATCCCCCCCAACCCTAATCAGTCCATCAAGCTCTTGGGCATTCATGGCCCAGGTTTCTTGGCACTGACTTCCCGTTCATCTTCCAGTCCCCCACCTGGTGAGATAGAGCTCAGAGCCTGGGGGAGGGTGAGTCACCTTGAGATCAAGAGCTTCCCTCCAGAGCTACCACCAGGCCTGCTCCTTTCCAGGCAGATTCCCAAGATGGCAGAGGACAAGCACACCTGGAATCTTCGTGGAGAGGCCACCCCACCCCTCCAACCCCCCTCCCTCCCTCCAAGAAGAACCAAGGCTCACTTAGATCTAGTGCTTATTTTCTTTATTTGCTGGAGGAGTTGAAACAAACTTAAATTTTTTTTTCCTAAACATGAATCATTCAAGTAAAACCAACTGAACTATAGAAATTTAGCAAAGTGAGGGAACAAAAGTAGCACAACCATCTGAAGGCGGAGAGGGCAAAGGTACAGAAGGGGAGGGGAGCAGTCTTCTCTTTCCTTTTTTTTTTTTTTACAACATATATATGAACTCCTTATGATTCACCTGCTTGTAGCAAGCATAGGGACTCATTCCAGATAATTGTTTTCTCCAAACATCTTTTGAGAAAATTTAAATTTAAAACATAACGTGTAATAAAAAAAAATTAACCACAAAAAACCCCCACAACCATACCACAACTGCCTTCCTTCATTAATCACAGGAGTTTTCATTTTATAAAAAGATTAATAAAAAATATTGAAAAAATTATTCTCATTTTATAATTTTTTAAGCTAGAATTCAGAAGTTTCTTAGAAAACACACCAAAAACTGCCCTCCAGTTAACATCCCAGTTGCTGAGAGGATAAGCACAACTCGGAAACATCTTGGGGTCTAGTCCCACAAGGGATGGAAGCCCCCTGGAAATGAGAAAGGTTAGAGGGTGTGAATGTATGTGGGGCCAACATCCTGTCACAGAGAGCTCAGCAGGGAAGGCTTATGCAAACAAGATATTTTGAAAGGACCTAAACTTACTACATACAAAAGCTGCTCTAAAAATTAGATTTTTCAATGCTGCTTGGTCCCAAATCGAAGTTGACATACCAATGTTTTGTTCTTGAGAATCATTTTCCTAAATTAAACCTGGAGAGCTAGTGTTACTAAATATGCATAAAGTAGAGATCTAAACAACTGGGGGGGTGGAGGAAGAGGAGACCAAAATTAAGCAAATTAGTCCTCATCTCTCAGCTTATATGGAAAAGAGAAAAATAAAATTAAATAAAAAAATAAAAAATAAGACTTGGTTCAAAATGGGACACAGAATGAAATTCAAACAAGTTCTCATAACCTATGTTCCACCCCACTCCCATACAAACAAGCAAGGAACAACCAAAAGCCCTACTTCTGGTTAAGGATGGAGAGCTGGGCCCTCCCTCAGCCAGCCTGCACAGACAGCTCTGAGTGGACAGCCGGGGGGGGGGGGGGGGGGGAAGGAGATGCGATGGGGGGGGGGGGGGCCCTGCAGAGGATCCTCTCTTCAGCTCTTCAGTCTTTCTGGGACATCTCCCCAGCCAGTGCTAGATGCCTCTCTCCCTTGGGGGTGGTTGCCCTCCAGGGGCTCTCTACTCAGCGGCTGCCTGTAAATTGTCCTTCTCCTCTCGGTTTTCCGCCCCGCTCTCATCATCTTCAATCTCGCCTTCTTCTCCGCTGAACTTGTCATGGGCCCACTTGGGGCTGGTGCTGGATTTCCGGAACATGAACCTGCCCCTACCCCGAGGAAAGGTGCCCCGGCCCCGGCCTCGGCTCACCCACTTCTCACTGCCTTCACCCTCTCGATCATCATGCTGAGGAGACAGCACAGTTCAGTTAGTTAAGAAAGTGCCAGGACCCAAGTTGCTGCTTATCTACCCACCAATGGCTTTAAGCCCAGCTTAAAAACAAATGTTCCATCTCCATGCAACACTGCCCCCTGCTCCCTGCCCCCTGTGCACCAAGGCTACCAGGGAAGAGTGTGACACATTTCACTAAGTGAGATGACAGGTGAACAGAAGGAAACTATTTCTACTCTCCTTTCTACTCTCCCATCTCAACAGTCATGCTGCCCAGAGCCCTTCTTAGGCCCCTTCCCTAACTCAGGGACTGAGTATTTCTACTCTTAAGAGGCCCAAGTTTTAAAAATTGCCTCTTCTTTCCCAACCTCTCTCAACCCCAAACTTCTAGGATTATAGTGAAATATTAGGGAGAAAGCGACTGGCTCGACTAAACCAAAGCAAAGGCCCTGGGGTTAGCAGCTAAGTTGAGACTTGGAGAGGGAGGCAGATAGTCTTTGGGGGACAGAAGGAAGCTCTATCAATATTGGTGCTAAACAGGACCAAAGGCTCATCTATGCACAACTAGCCTATAGCTACCAAAGCATAAGAAAATCAATGTCTTCATGACAGACCTAGGAGGTAGGGAGTACTAGATTAGCACTCGTTATTTTATAAAACAAAAAACTTAGGCTGCCCCAGGTCACACCCCACAAATGCTGGAGTTAAGATTCCAGTGCGTTGTCTCCTGACTCCTACACAACTGTAGCCAGAGTAGCCCTTCCATGCTTCCTCCATTAAAGCCTAGATATGTTCACTGTAACTTGGGGTCCTTGTGTGCAACTTTGGGAAGAAGAAGGAATGAAAACAAGCTTGTTACACTTCCCAAAGATGGCACTTTTAAGAGAAGTGAATGGTTGCCAGCACCGCAACCCCAAACCAAACTATGTTCATTTGCCAACACAGAATGCTCTCTAAGGGTGGGACTGTAGACCATGTAGGGCAATCTGGACTCCACAAATGTAAGATCTACTCTAGCTTACTCTACTTGGACTGTCTTGACAGGAGAGGAGAGGGAATGGAGCACTTGTAGTCACCTTCTTCTCACTGGTACTTCGAGAGCCACAACAAGCCAAGTCTTCTGGGACTTGTCCAGGCTTCCCTCAATCTAACATCTTCAGAAGTGCTGAACAGGCTGAAGAACACCCTCCTAGGCCTATATTTCGCCCTCTTCCCTATCCCCATAGCTGGCTCTAAGATATGTCTGGCTTTAAGAGTATGCGATTTACATGTACTGATTGCCACTGATGTCTAAGAATCAAATGAGATAATGACTGCAGAACACTTAGCACAGTGCCTGGCACATAGGAAGCACTATATAAATGTTAGCTATTATCATTACATGGCACAAAAACAATTATGTGTAAGTTGTTAAATACAAGCTAAATTAACTTTGTTGACAGTTGTTTGGCCTTTATGACATGGTTGTCAGCACCCATCTTAAAAATAACAACAGAACTCTGCCTTGCTGAGAGTTAATGCTCAAGAGGGAGGAGCTGCAAGAAGCTCTCTCACTGGCCACCTGCTCCTGACAAGGCAGGCAGAACAGCTTTCACCTTAAAGGCAGGAATGGCCTGAGGTCAGCTAGGCAGATCCATCAGATGGGGTTCCCTAATATGTGAAGAGCGGTCCTGTCCCCTTATAAGGAGCTATTAGGGATCTGCTCTGGGGCCCTCACTGACTAGATCTGAAGCTCCCAGGACTTCCTCCTACTAAATATGCACTTCACCCTCAACTGGGACAGAATGCTAAGCTGTCATTCCCTCTTCTGTTTTTTAAACTAGTTTACCTTAGTTTATTTAATCTTGCTTTGAAGGAAAAAATATTATTTTCCTCTACATCTCAATTTTGGGGAAATTAATCCTTTGGTAATTCCTTTCAAGAATCACTCCTTAATCTGTTTTATAAACCAAGTTTGCTTAGAGGGGAACCAGGTAAGTGTGTACTTAGTTCAGACCCCCTCAAAGTTAATCCAATTCATTATAGGGTCATACATTTTAAACTAGAAGGGGCCCAGGTTGGACACCTTGTTTATAATATTTCAGGATGCTTTGTCAGAGACCCCTGGTTCCCAGATGCAGAGGGAGAGTGTAAATCACCAGGTAGCTGAACTTCTCATTGGCTATCTGTGTGTCACTTTTGGTACAGAACCCAGCTGGCAGTACCCCATCTGCTCAACATTCCTGATTGCTTCAGTAAACCCCTGGTATTGACCATGGTCTAGGTCAGATTCCTTCTATCCCCCAGACACATACCAGATAATATTTTTTGCTTTTGGGTGTATATTCTGGGTCCCATTCCTCCTCTCGGGTCCTCTTCTGGAAATCATTGTTGCCACTGCTGTTATTGCCAGCATAGTTGCCTCTGCCCCAGCCTCTTCCTCTAGCTCGAAATTGCTGCAGCAACAAACAGGGAAGAGCAGTTAGTCATATTAGGATGTGGACGACGGCCCTTTCTTGAAGACCCTGTTAGGAGACCTCAAGCTCTGACAAAGAACAAAACTGACACATGTCCCCTGAGCTCCTGCTGATAAACTGCTTTCCATGCAATCATGTGGCTGGATACCCAGGAACCTTAGACAGCTAATTCAGCTGCAGTATGACTGTGACTAAAAGCATTCTGCTGGGTGACCAATGGGAGAGAACAAGAAGGTCAGAAACCATCAGCTACAAAAGAATCTTTCAATCTGAGTAAGTAATCATGTTTGAAAAAGCAACTGTAAAACAGACAGTTGAGGGGAAAAGTGATTGGGCAGAAGGAACCATCCGGAGGATGAGGAGGAGTCTAGTCTGCTCCAGGCTCCATAAGAGCCGGTTCCTGAACGCAGATATACACGTAGCTGATGTAAGATGAGAACATTAGAGCTGGAAGGAATTGTGACCTCTACCTGATGTAGGAATCCTTCCCGATCCCCTACGATATCCCAACGAAGAACGAAAAGAGCAAACCTAGAATTATTAGTACAAGATGAAGAATGGAAAGAGATATAAAGAAAGCCTGGCCTGACTCATGGGGCCAGAAGAGTTAAGCACATGAAGACAGATATTGAGTGGTCATGCTGAACCTCCTAGAAAGACTCTCCTGGGACAGATGGACTTTTAAAAAAAGGAGAGAAGCACCCTTGGAAGCCTGTCTGCAGGTTATATGGTAGGGAGGGAAGAGATTAGCATATGGGGTGACTCACAAAGGTCCCTCGAGCTCTGCCTCCTCTCTCACTTGGACCCACAAAATCTTTGGTCCCCAGCCGAGATTTGTCAAAGCCTGTGGTGCTCTCTTCTCGCTCCTCTGTCTCTTCAGTGTACTCCTCTGCTTTGTAAGAATGTGACGACTGGGAGGATGATGATGATGACCGAGACCGATCCCGTGTTCGACGATGCTTCCTGTGCCAAGAGAGAAGCCAGTGTGGTTCATGAGCTTGACCAAGCACCAGCACCATGTGTTTCATAGATGAGGACTAGCATGAGATATCTCAGGAACATGGCTGCTGAAATGGGTTTGAACATGTTTAAATTAGGAAAAAAAAGACAAACCCAAACACACCCATCTAGGATGTGTTCTTCAAAATTCACTTTCCTTACAAAGTCTAGTAACAGGGGGTATCATTCAGTGGGATGGGATGAGAACCCTGAGAGCTGGAGAGGCTGTTCCATGAGTTACTTCTTCTGAAGTGGCCATTTCCTCTGGAACCCAGGGAAGATCAGAGACTAGAGTCTTAACAATTTGCCTTTAAAAATGATGTATTGTCTATGACTGAGAGGGGTGGGGGTGGGGACAGGTAACTAGCAATACATTTCTATGATCTAATATGTCTGTGTAACTTGCTGGCCTCCAGGAGGTACAGAGGTTAGCCTCTTGAGGTAACACTGGGTCACAGCACTTCTTCACCCCCAACTGCCCTGGATGGGGCCAAGTCATTAAGCCTCAGAGTTCCAAGGCTCATTTTCAGGAGAATTTTAAGCTCCCACTAAAAAAGAGGAGTTTCTTTCATCTGTTACCATGTACTGTGGTTCCCCTTCAGGAAATGTCTGCCTCAGAAGCATTACTCTGAGCCTGGGAGCTGGTAGTGTTTCTCATTCCCAGAAATGTTTCCTTCGAGTATTTCTGACTGGTATGAATGTTTAGAGATTGCTCTCCCCACTCAATGGATCCCAAATTATAATCACAGACTGTCAGAGCCAAAAAGGTCCTTATAGATCATTGATCTAATGTCACTTGACCAAGGCCATAAATGTAGCTGGTGGTAAAACCAGGGTTAAACTTGAAGTTTCTAAGGGAGAAGAGTGTACAAAGTTAGAGCTAGTTAGTCAGACTGTCCCCAAGAAATGGTATGAGAAACTAAATTAGGTAGTTATACTGTGGGAGTGTGCTATACACACTCTGAACTGCTGAGAAGCACTTACATGGTTGGTGATGAACAAATTCTTCTAGTCACCAAGAAAGTTAGAAAGCACTTCAGAAGGCATCTAGTTTGAATTGTAACTGAGTAGGAATTCCCTCTACCCCATGCCAGACAAGTGGTCATCTAGCCTTTGCTTAGAGACCTCTAGTGAGAGAGAACCTACTCTCTCTTAAGATATTCCACTCCACTTTTGGAATTACTAGGAAGTTTTTCCTTACATTAAGCTTTAATGTGTCTCTCAGTAACTTCTATTTATTTTAACAAAGTGCAATTAATCGAAAGAAATCAACGTGCTGCCCAGATCTGATAACACATTCCTCATTCTTCCCCATCCACTGTTCTCAGTTCTGACCTTTGGAGCCTTCAAGAAGAACAAATCTCTCTTCCATGTAACATCCCTTCAAATGTTTGAAGACTATTTTAAGCTCTCTAAATCATCTCTCTACCAGGTAATAACTCAAATTATTTCAGTCACTCCATCCATGGCATGATCTTCATCACCCTGGTGGCCTTCTAACTCATCCGTACAAAAAAAAAATATGGTGTTCAGAAATGAAAGCACCACTTCAGTTATTTATGACCAGGGTGCAATATAGTGATATAATCACATCACCCTTTTAGGACACTGTCCTCTCAATGTAGCCTAAGAGTACGCTGTCTTTTTTTTTTTTTTGGTGGCTGCCATATCATAACACTGACTCATACTGAAGCTTGTAGTCCACTAAAACCTCCAGATCTTTTCCAGCCAAGCTGCTCTCGATGCATACTTCCTCCCCACCTCCCTGGATTTTCTCACCCTGTCTCATTAGCAAACTTACAATTAGGTTCAAAGATTTAACTTCATAAGTAGAAGACTGACTTTGTATTTATCCTAATTACATAACATCTACTGAGATATTCATACCAACATGCTAACTGGTTGAGATATTTTTGGAAACTGACTCTATCATCCAACTTCACTTTATCTGCAAATCTGATAAGTGTCATCTATGTCATCCAAGTTATTAGTTAAAATGCTAAAGCCAAGAAGAATGTAAATGTCTAGCAAATATTAGGCATTTAATTGAATAATTCAATGGAACCTTTCCCTAAAATATGGTCATGAATGTCCATGACCTTAGACATGAGATCATTTTATAACACCTATTTGTTACTTTAGTCAATTAGTAACAACTCCTTCCCTAAAAATTAGAGTTATCCTACAGTAGAAGAGAACACTTGAAGGGTGGATGGAAAGTAGATTTTCCTCACTGGAGTTCTTTAAGCAAAGCTTTACGACCACTTGTTAGGCGTGTGCTGCAGATTCTTGCTCAGGTTTGCACTGGGCTATGCGCCTTCTAAGATGCCTTCCAATTTTCAGTCTATGATCGATCAATTCTCTCTCTGGACGGAGTCCAAGCTAGATTTGCCTTATCTAAAATTCTACCCTAGCACAAAGGACCTGAATTGACAATACATAAAACAGAGTGTACTGGCCTGGAATGCAGGAGACCTAAATTCAAGCCCTAGCTGTCACCAAATAGCTGTGTGAACACAGGGCAGTCAGTATGGTTCAACATCTTCGTTTACTTATCTGTCAATTGGAGAAAATATCTGCTCTACTTTTCTTTCTCAGTACAGTTTGAAACGTGTTAACATGTGAAAGTTCATTACATAGCCCTAGACTAAGGTAAGGTGGGCAATTATCTTAAGATGACTAAAAAGTACCCACATCTACTGATAGGCATCTGTACGGAACCAAGTACAAGGTGAGAGTATTTTCAGAAAAGGGAAAACAAATAAACCAAAAACAAAACTAAGGCAAAAAGTTCTTTCACTAAAGTCTTCTTCTGATGCCTCTCTGGGGCACAAAGGCGGTGACCCTGGGCTTTCTCAGACTGTGCACAAGTGCCAGAAGGTCACGCTAAGCTACAAAGGCACAAACAAGGCCTGAGTGCTTCTTATCCGTGAACTCACCTAACAAAGTAAGGAAAAGTTTGTCACCAGAAAACTAGGTGCCAGCTGATGACTCCCTCCCTCCTTTTTTTCCCAACATAGAAACTCACAAAGGCCTTCCATTAAAGGGCAGAGGGGTTGTGAACAGCACTGGTAGACATAGAACCAACCCACACCAAAGAAATCAGGGTCCTTGAAATATATTAGAAATTGTCCTAGAATTTAAATCCAATTAACTAGTTATGCAAGACTTTATTCTTACACTACTTTTTTTTTAAACCAAAAAAGGCCAGCTTGATGACCCACACACACTATTCACTGGGAACTGTTAAATGAATTCACTGCTAAAAAAATTTTCCCTCAAAGGACTCAGATTCACCACTGAGAATACTGAAATGAACTGTTACAGGCTAAGCAGGCTATTCTCAAAGAAGCGTTCTAGAATATGTTGAAAAATGCTGAAATAAGCTACCACTGACAGACTGAGCATATCCCCAAGGTGACTACTTTGAGGGTGGACTACACTTGTTTAGATTTGGATAAGTTATGATTTGTTTCTTTAGAAATTTACTTAGTAGTCACAACTTGTCTAGAACGAAGAAAAATCGAGTCCCTGAACCTGTCTGGGCTGACCCTCTGCTGCAGAGAAAAACGGGGCAATCCCTAAATAAACATTTATAGGCATACACCTACCCAACAGTATTAGTTTCCTCTGAGGAAACCTGACATCAGGTGAAACTACTCTGAGAAGCTTAATTTCATAAGAATAATATTCCAAATGGGTGACTGACCAAACAATGTTACCACGGGGCTGGGTTTTAAAATATGGAAAAAGCAGTTGCAGCAACTTTTTGGAAGACTTAGCTGTATTAAGCCACTACTAGCAATGAAATTTATCAATTCCTAGATAGCCTGGAGAGTCTATACCTGACACCATCCCTGCATCAAACAGGACACCCAGACAGACACAAAGCCTACATACTTCTGCTTTTTGGATCCTTTGTGAGTTTTCTCAGTCTTTTCAGCTGATCTCTCCCTTGAGTGGCTTGAATCTCGGGAATCCACAGATTCTCTTGACTTATCTCGTTTAAGATCACGTTCCTTATGTTTTTTACGACGTTCAATATCAAGGCGAAGATCAACTGGGTCATCTTTGTATTTTCCCTCAGCCTGCAGAGAAAGAAAGAAGTAGGAGTTAAGACTCTTGGACTATAAATATGTCAACATATTAGCTACCCTAAAAAACCATGGTTTTCACCGGAGTGGTACAACGAGGGGGAGGGAATAGCAAAAATGCTAGTAAATATATCCCAGCAACACAAGTGACTTAATGTCCCTTCCTAACAAGAAGCTTAGGGCACTTATTTACTAGCAAGAACAAGTTAAAAACAAAACATTACAGGGAACTAGCTAAATTTCCCACCACCATTTACAAACCACTCTAAGCATGGAGAATGACTTGAGAATCCCAGCTACAGGATGAGAATTCTAGTGAGAAAGGCTTCTGTTGGCACAGCTAAAGAGTGGAAGCCTTCTCTCTCCTTTTTGTGGGTGGGGTGGGGAGGTAAGCTAGGAACTGATCTGTGGGCATAAAGCCACCATGAACACAACCAAGAGTGTCCAATGACAGATGACATATGCTGAACTCAAGACACATTCCCAATCTGCTTTAAGGCATCTTGCTAGCCTGGGAAATATCCCAAATTACTGCCTGGCCTGGAAAGCAGGAACAGAGAACCTGAGTAGGCTATCCTAACATTACCTCCACAGATACTGAGGAAACTTCCTCATAAGGAAGCTGAATTATGCAAAACAAATGAAGTGGCAATAGCGGGCAGGAGTTTATATAAAAATGGGAAAATTATATGAAAATATCTACCTTTCTGGGTGCTTGACAGAAAAGTTACGTTACAGAGATGTAGTACAATTACGCTGGTATTACATCTCAACAATGGCTTTAAAAATAAATCATCTGTTATAGCTGATGCTTTTTTCATTCAAAACCAAAAGGAGAGGTGGAGAGGGGAACTACAATGTGACAGGAAATCACATTCATCTCATAGACATAATCCCTCAAAGTGTGCATGGGGGGGGGGCCACAGGAGGGGAGCACACAAAAGACAAGTTTAGTAATTTTTTAGCTATTAAAATTTTTACACAATTAAAACTTAAGCAACAAACTTAGAACTTTAGCCACAAGAGGAAGAGCTGGGAGTCATTGATCTCTTCCTCATAGAGGCACAGGGATTTTTACAGGGTGCTAGTACTTTTAGTAGGGGTTTTATTTTGGTTGTTGGCTTTTGTACACTTCCCCAGGAAAAAGATTTTATTATTTCCACTCAGACACCAAACTGCTCCCAGCAGCACTAATAAGGTCATTAACAAAAGCAGCCACTGCTCCCTTAGGTAGAGTGAATAGTGATTTAGCATCCCCGCCCCCCCCCCGAAAACATGGTGGACAAGATTTCTTCCGCTGTTTGAAAAACTTCCTGTTTCATATAGAGCCAGGCTGGTATTCAGAGAGGGAGAGAAAAAGCAGGTTTATCATATTTATCTAATATAACAAGTTTCTGGGGTTTTTTGTTTTGTTTTTTGAAACCTTGAAAATAAGTACATAAAAATTAAGGTTTCACCAAGATGGGAAACATTTCTCATTTTAACCAAATACAAACACGAAGAAAGACATATAATCTGCATTAGGCTTTAAAAAACAATAACTCAACCCAAATCCATAATACAATTTTAACACTTCATACTACTGTTCATAGCAGTCTAAAGGCAGCTGGGCTGGGCAGCATTAAAGTAACAGCGAGGGACAAATAACACGGGTACAATGTTAGGACAAATGGGACTAGTTGTGTATTAACAGTTTACTCAGTTCAGATACAAATAAAAATTTTATTTTTCTCTCTCGGACATGCATGTCTTTTTGAAATCATGGTTGGAAATAGCGCATGTATACAATTGATTTGATAATACTTACAAGCAGAAAAATATCACAAAAAGTTTCTTCTCTCATCATGGGCACTTGTTCCAAAACTCCTCTCTTTTTTTTCTCAATCTCACCTCAATAGACTTTGGGGTCATTTACCATATTCTAACCACTTCACAAAGGTTGTTGATACATTTAATAAAAATTAACCCTTTGTAGTTCATTTTTAGAATTATGCCCATCCTTAAAAGAAAAACACAAACTTAAGTAGAGAGTAATTTAAACAAAAACATTTCTGTTAAGTTCATGCCCAACGCACTCATATTGTTGAAATTACTGATGAAAGCGACAGTTCACCTTGTAGCCAGGCTCCCGGGTGCTTTTCATCTCGTCATGAGCCAAACCATGTTTTCTGAACGTACTGGGAGAAATATCTATCCTCCTAGGGAATTAACAAAACAAAACCCAAGTCAATATTTTTCCAATGAAACTCAATCTCATCTCTTCCCATTTTTAGTGCGCCATTACCACTTACCTTCAAAATTCAGATTCATTCACTATTTACTATGTGCTAGCCATTGAGGGGTACAGAGACAAATAAAATAAAGTCCTTCCTCTCATAGTTTACAAGCAGGGAAAAAAAATACCTTTGGAGAGTCCCAGAATAGGGGAGAGAGGGGAGAGCTCAGAGTAATGAAGACGAGAGTTTTTAAGTCCTGTCTCTTACATACAGTGGCATCAGTGCCTGAGAGAGCCCCCTAAAACTCTAAAACTGAAGGTATGTTGCTGATATACATCAGTGTAGTTTCCAAACAGAGTTCCCTATACTCTCTGATGAAATCATAGATCTGAACCACAGCCAACCCTTCCTCCCCCAATAAGCCTAGCCAGATAAATTTATAAACTTAGCCAAAGAAATCAAACCAATCTGGTGTTCCAACTCATATCTGCTGGCTCTATACCCACGGCAAAGCCTCAAGAACCAGCTCCTTTTTGTAAAGAATGTGACTGTCTCCTACTGCTCCTTCCTTAGGAAGCTTCAGGCCCAAAGAACAGAGCTGCTTGCTGAATGCATGGCCCACAAAAGCATTTAACAACAACAACAAAAAACAAAAACAAAACAAAAAAAAACCACCCCAAAACCCTGAGCCTGCTGTCTAAATCCTCTGTCTAATAAGAAGAAAGAGGATAACTGTTTTACTGAAAACCCACCCAAAGAAATGTCTAGATCAGAAACACAACTTGCTTAGAAAACCTCAACTCATCACGGTGCCTAATAAATAGAGAAGAGTTTCAGAAATCTGCTCAAGTACTTAATTATATCTGACTTCCCCCAAATCACCCCATCAATAATTTTCAACCTTCTTTGGAAAAGTAACCGACGTGTTTAAGGAAAACTCAAAGTAAGCTAAAAAAGAAAGCCTAGCTGCTTTGATCGACCTCCCTACAGTCCCAGACCAGCTCATGTATGCCAGGTGTCTGTCTCGCTGGCCTCAAAATCGCCTATCATCATCTCCTTGGTACACTCTATTACAAAGACCAATGAGCTCTACACCACCCTAGAGTCTGTACAAAGTTGCTCTAACTTCCATAACTAACATACAGAATGTGACAAGCAAGCTTAAAGTCTTCATTGAAACCTCCATTCGCAGGATTGTTTTCCACACCTGTGAATCTCTGGACTCTTCTTGTTTTTAGCTGCATCCTGCTCTGTTCCCCTCTTTAGGTATTTAGTAAATCGTTCATTCAATGTCATTCCTGAGGATCCAAAATGATGCTCTGTGGAGGATGCAAAGAAAGATGCCCCATGATTACTGTAATGCAGTATAGTATTGTTGGGATGCACAAAGACTCTAGAATCAAGAGTACCCCAGTTCAGACCCCTCCTCTAATGCTTACTATTTCTATGACCTTGGGCAAGTCCTTTCACCTCCCTGGACCTTAGTTTCCTCATCTGTAAAATGAGGGGGTTAGATTAGATGGCCTCTGGTCCCAATCAGCTCTAAATCCACAATCCTGGGACTTAAGGTTAAATCTTGACACAGAGTAAACATACCATATGTAAAAATTCCAAAGGTTAATGTAAACTTCATTTATTAAACACTGTCTTTGTAAAGCACCGAGGTAGGCACTGGGGCAGATGCTACCCACATTCCTGTTCTTCCACACACCTGTAGTCAAGGAAGTCAAGCTTCCCTTCCCAAAGCACAAAGGCCCCTTCTTCTCAAACAAAGCTTTGCAGATGTGCCACAAGCCTGAAATAGACCTGGCTCTGCCTAACAGGGCTACACTCCCACTTTTGGTCTCTTCCTTCAGCACATTAACTCTTCCTCTAAATTACCCAGGAAAGGTAAAATATGACCCAATTTCTAGGGAATGGTTTCAGTCCTTAAGAAAAATGCTTGAAGGACATTTTTGTCATGTAGTCAAAGAAAAATGCTCACTGCAGAAATTAGGGAGATAGAGGGAGAGGAATTATTAAGATCTGTCCTAAGAAGCTTATAATCAGAAAGTGTGCACATAGACCATAAGCTTGAGGAGTTTAGGAGGAAAGGGTAGAGAAATCTGAAAAATCCCTTCATAGTTAATTGTATATCCTCATTCCTACTAAAGGAGTTTTAACCACTCTCACCAGACACCTGTAATTAGCACCTGAAACCCCATAATTTGCTGAACCGGTGAGGTAGTCCCCAGAAGCAATTCCCTCATGCCAGCCATGGATTTCAAAGACCTTTCTAATGGGATGAACAGTCTAAGTAATCAAGGACAAGAGAAGAGGCCTCTCCTTTTGGAGCCTGATTGGCCACTTGGAAGAAGCCCAGGGCTCTTTTCCTCCAAATAGCCCTTAGAGGAAGCTAAAGGTGTGGAAGAGCAAGGGAAGACAAGTGGTGGGCCTGGACTCACCTTTAACATGGTGAACGATAGTTACAATGTGCTGGGCAAATAGCTCTGAAGGGCTCCGCTGAGACTGAGCAGACTGAATGTGTTGGAAAATGGAACGGAATTCCTGATCTTTTTTGTTACTATGGACTAGATCTCGACTGAGTTTGCGTTCCTGAGCCAATAAGCCACTGGGACTGGAACAGAAAAAGGGGAGGAAATAGGAAGGGAGAGGGGTGTCAAGAAAAAGCACATAGAAAGCCAGTATGACAAGTGCCCAACAACTGCATCAGTGTGACCTAAAGACTATCACTGCAGCAACCCTGCCCACCCAGTACACAGCTGATCCTCTGAAAGTCCGTTCATGATGTCTGAAGGACCCCCAAAACGTGGCCCCCCCACTCTCCAGCATCCTGAGGAGGCCCTCTTTAGGCAGGCCCTCAGCACACAGGTGGTGGCGAGGCCCAGAAGCAGGTCAGTGGGGAAGGAAGAGGAGTAGACCCAGCCTAGAGAGAAGGAGGAGGAAGAGGAGCAGGCCTAGCCCAGGAAGGAGAAGAGAAGGAGGAGGAGGAAGAGTAAGCCCAGCCCAGGAAGGAGGAGAGAAGGAGGAGGAGGCCCAGCCCAGGGAGGAGCAGGCCCAGCCCAGGAAGGAGCAGGAGGAGGAGCAGGCCCAGCCCAGGGAGGAGCAGGAGGAGGAGCAGACCCAGCCCAGGGAGGAGGAGGAGGAGCAGGCCCAACCCAGGGAGGGGCAGGCCCAGACCAGGAAGAAGGAGGAGGGGAAGGGGGAGGAGGAGGAGGATTAGGCCCAGCCCAGGGAAGAGCAAGAGGAGGAGCAGGCCCAGCCCAAGGAAGAGAAGGAGAAGGAGCAGGCCTAGCCCAGGGAAAAGCAGAGGTCAGAACAGCCCCCCACATCTCCTGACCCCAGCCCCACAGGCCCAGCCAGGCCTTCCAGAGAGGCCTGTAGCCACTCACTTCTTCCCCACAGCCATCTTGACTGTGTCCTCACTGCTAAGCAGCGCCCCCTAGGGCCTGAGGCTGCCTGGGAGCTGTCCCCACCCCCACAAGAAGGCACCCTCCCGCTCTCACCGGGCCAGGTCCTCATCGAAGGAGTCCATGCGGACATTGACTTGGGCCTCTCGGGTGATAGAGAAGGAGGATTTGCCCAGGGGCAGGCTCTCGGCCCTGGGAGGGCCCAGCTTGTCTCGGGCCTCAGTGGCCGCCGGGGTGGTGGTGGTGGCCTTCCTGGATGGTGGGGGTGGCGGGGATGAGCTCTTCTCTGGCAGGGCCTTGTAGGCAGTCACCCGGAAGTTCTTCTCAGGCACAAAGCCCCTGTGTGTGGTGGCCTCGGTCCGCTTGGCAGTGGCCCGCTCCTCCTTCTTGGGCCGGTCGGGGTATGCATCATCCTCCAGCTCCTCAGCCTTCCTCTGCTTTTCCTTTCCTGCAGGCACATACACCAGGCCTTCCCACTTGCCAGGCCGCTCGTCCTCCTGGCCTTTGCTGGTGCCTGCAATGACTTTGGACATAAATTTGGGCTCATCCTCAAACTCTGACTCCTTCCGGCCCTTTGACTTCTCCTTGTCTTGCTCATCCATCTCTTCTTTGTGGAACTCAGCCATCTTCTTCTCAAAATCATCTCGGAGCTTATATCTCTTGGGAGACTGACTGCCCCGAAAAGGTTTCTCAGCATCAGCTTTAGGAGCAAATGGGTCAGACTTCACTTTTGGATCTCCCAAGCCCAACTCAGAGAAGCTCCCTTTCTCTTTTATTTTTTCCTTATCAACATTTGTTAGTTTCTGTTCCTTATCTTTTCCATTCTCAGACTTCTGCTCTTCGAGATACCTGTTTACAGAAACATAAACACACATATACAAAAGAGATTTCTTAAGCAACTTGCTTTGTAACAGGCTTCAAAAAAAATTCTGAGCACATCTTAATGATTCCAAAGTTACCAAAAGTTTTACAACTGAGCTAATTTTGAATAGATTTCTTAGAACACAGGGAAAAAAGGGTAGAGAGGGAACAGCAGAGGGCATTTTTAAAGTACTAAAAGAATCTACTTACCTGTATAGACTTAGTCTATAGAAAAAAAAATTAAGGTCTTACCCAACACCTTCACTCAGTCATTTTATAAATCTGCTTTCAGCAGTTAATACACCAGAATGGTCAACCTTGAATTGCTTTATATAATACATATTGGAAATAAAAGTCTCAAAAGCGACTTCAAGTTTGATGCAAGTCGCCTAAACATCTCATCTACTGCAAATATAAATAAAAACATAAGTTAATGTGGGATATTTCTTGTAGAAAACAAATCTCATAATCAATTCTTCTAATAAGGATAGCTGTTTACAAACAAGGTAAAAGGCAAAATGTGAATTATTTAAAAATATAGTTGTGGTTTTTTTAAAACAATGAGCTGAACAAGGGAGGTGTGAACCATTTCACTGGGATAATTAATGTAGAATATCTACTTCAATGAAATTAAAACAAACAATCAAAGGGAGGATGAGTATCTACAAAAATTGCCAATAAAGATACTCTTAAGGGAGAAAAGACTCAAGGGCAGAGCAATGGAAAGGACACCTGCCAGGAAAGGCAAAGTGGAATACAATAGCATAATATGCTCCAACAAGCACTGGTCTATTCCTGTTGCCTTTTACCCCATACACTCAACACAAAAAAGAAACAAAGATCTGCATTCCACTCACCGTATCCCCTAGTGCAGAGAGACTGGGGTATTTTGCCACGTCCTCTCCTAAAATGCAGCCTGGTGGGTTTCTACTGGGATACACACCCACCTTGCAGTTTTAAAACAAGGCATTCCTGGGAATAAGCCTTGGACTTCCCCATTTTGCCCAGGTCTCCTGAGTTGAATGTGTAAGTATGCAGCTCTTCACAATGATGGGCTGGTGCAGATCGGTCACAGTAGACGGTAGGTCCTAGCAGGTGAATGCTAACCGTTCCAATGGTCATTCACTTTGGCAAAGACCATACTCTTTGATGGCTGACCCACAAAGCTCTACTGCTCTCTGGTTTATAGACACATTGGCAGATTCCAAGGCAAATTTTAAATGTGAAAACACCATGGCAGAGTAGTCTAAAGAAACTTTATGCTGCAATACAAATTCAGGAAGGCAGGAAAGCTGGAGTTAAGCTAAAGTTTTCCTTGTGTGACTTTTGTCTTTTTTTTTTTTTAACTCTGCTAAACAAAGTTTCAGGGAAACAATGCTACCTTGCTACCATTAATAAGAATTCTGACTTGAAAAACAAAACGACTATTTCTTTCACCACGAGTACTTTTTAGCATTTACACCACATTAAAATCAATACCCAGCTGACACACCACGTGACACAAAATAAGACAAGAAAAATGTGATACTTGCCTCTTAGAATAGGCCACTCCTCCTGGAGCAGATACTTCCTCCTTCTGTGACGAAGAGCCGTAAGTGGAACCAATGGCTGGGGGACTCTTACCCACAGGGCTCTTTTTGGATGGGCTCAAGCCCCCAGCACCATGATCAAATTGGCTTTGGTGAGTTCCAGCCTGAAAGCCAGTGCTGCTCTGCAGAGCTGAGCCCATCTGAGATGGTGTGGAGAGTGGAGGGCTGGGTTTCTGCACAGGACTAGGGCGGGGAGAACGCCGTCTCACCACCACTGACTGCAGAGGGCTTTTGAGGGCAGGGCTACGCTCTCGGGGGCTCAGCTCAGACACAGCAGCTCTTGATGCTGAGCCAGCACCATAGGTAGTGGCCTCAGGCCATGGCTTTGAGCTCTCTGACGGTTTAGCATCCTGAGAGGTACCTCCAGGGAAAGGCTGCTCCTTGGAATCATCACCTTGGTTATCTCCAGCAGACTGTGATGGCCGGTTTTCCTTGGAAGATGACTTCTTCTCCTTTACAGATTTGCGCTTAGAAGACTCAACCCGGCTATGGTTAGAGGAAGATCGAGAAGATGAAGAGCGCCTTGACCTGTCAGAGGAAGACTTATCAGAGTTTCTAGAATGGCTCCTAGACCTGGGTGAAGGGGACCTTCTTTTTGGGGACCGGGATCGAGAACGGCCCCGTCGAGGACTATATGCTTGGCGGTAATTCTGCCAATTTGACCGGTAGTTTCCATAGCCTCCTCGGTTATACTGGCCCCATGGATAAAAGCCTCTGTTGCGACCACGGAAATAATAGGGCCTTCTATAGCCTCGGTTGTGACCTCGGAAATCTCGGTTCTGATATACTCTTGGATGGTTCCTTTCTCTGTTATGAGCTGGAGAATATGATCTGGAACGGGACCTAGAACTGAAAAGGGAAGAAAAGAGGGGAAAAAGTTTCTATTTTTGATCCAAGTACTTTCTTTTTTTTTTTTTCCCCAATCCAAGTACTTTCATTGGGGGAAAAAAGTGTCTTGTTCTTCCTAAAAATCTTGACGAAGATACTCTTAAATAATAATATCTGCTTCCCAAGGATCTTGATCTTCATTTGCTTTCTGATGCTAAAAGCAAATATACAAAAATAATTCATCTCACTACTTGAGTGAATTATTATGGGCCATAATCACCAATAAGGATTGTCTTTATAGAGGCATAAAATCCCATTTCAATAAATTTTATGAGATGTTAAAATAGCTTTCTTAATATTGAAATAAATGAAAATCTACATACAGTTCCAGGGTCAGAGTATCATTTATTTCTTAATTTAAATAAAGCAAATGCTTTAACATACAGTATTCGCAAACAATAAAAGCTTCTCCATTAAAAAAATGCATTAGGGGATATACTCATTTCAGATTCCTAAGAATATATAATCTGCAGATCATAAAGAGACAGAAAGATGAAAATTTTTAGATTTGTGAGGGTAAGTGCCATAGTACTAGTATTTATGCCCTCAATTTAACAGCTCCTGAGGCCCTGGGCTCTATGTATTAGACTCTTGCAGGCTATAGTAATTTCCTTATTTCCCAAGCCATATCTTATAGTCTATCTGGACCAATTCTATAAGATTCAATAGAATCTGTTTTAAAAAAAACCAGATTGGCAAAACAATAACTATAGTATTAAAAAATATCCAGGGATAGCCAAATCTAATGTTAAAATATTACTTTACCATGAATTACCATTTGGCATCAAAACCTACCATTGTATAATAGGACCCTTCTATGTTACCACAAGGGGTCACTGTACCCATGAGGCAGACATTAATTCTGACACCAGAAGAACCTAAAAACTCACTGTACTCGTAAGGCTGTAGATGTTTCAAAGAACTTCATGTGTACCAGAACAGATCCGATTTATTTGCCAGAGTTCTAGTACTGATTCCTCTTCATCTGGTAAGGGGGTAGTGGTGGTGGTGGTAGAAGTAGTACTACCTTGCTTTAAAATCACAGCGCAAGAATAATAAAGATTTGGCCTCAACTTCCTCTGGAAAGACTAAAAACAAATCTTGGGCTGGTCCACTGACAGAGGCAGGCTTTCTATCAAACAGGAAAAAATTAACAATGGACTTTATGTGGCTGTTAGGGAAACACATCTCCTCACCTCAAGACACAGAGGTACTACACTATTGATATGGAAGGAAGTGACAGACCCAATGTACTGAATTTTTTAAAATGTACTTCTTGGTTGAAATGAAAGGTTCTACTGGGACAAGGGCAAGTCGCTGGGAAGTGACAGCAAGATCATCAACAAAATATTTTTTAAAAACCCATTCCTATCAAAATAAAATCTCAAGTCAAAGATCTCCTAAGGAACAATAACTTCAGATTACTAATAGAACCACCAAATTGGGTTGTTGGGGTTTTTTTTGGCGAGGCAATTAGGGTTAAGGACTTGCCCAGAGTCACACAGCTAGTGAGTGTTATATGTCTGAGGCCTATTTCGAACTCAGGTCCTCCTGACTCCAGGGCCGGTGCTCTATCCACTGTGCCACCTAGCTGCCCCCTAAATTTTTTGGGGTTTTTTTTTTAGGCAGCTGGGGTCAAGTGACTTGCCCAGGGTCACACAGCTAGTAAGTGTCAAGTGTTTGGTCTGAGGCCAGATTTGAACTCAGGTACTCCTGACTTCACCTAGCTGCCCCAGTTTTTTTTTTTTAAAGGGGAAGGAGAGGAGTAGGAGAGCACTAAGATGCAGAGATGAGATTATACAATAATGTCAAATTTACTGAAAAGTTTTCAAAAAGTTTTTTTTCTTTTTCATATCTATACTATTGCCACATATAAGGACAAAGACGCCGAATATAGCTCACTAGAAGGAAGGTCTCTTAATCTGTATATGAATCTGCATATGTTTATGATTTTTTTAAAAACCCACTTACATATTCCTCTCCAGGTAAAGCTGTTTCTGCCAGCAGTACCTGACACCAGACACCCAGGTCTCTTTCATGGAGTCCTCTGTGGGCCAGTGGCTCCATGACAGAGGCCCCCATCAACCTCCCATAGAGATTGTAACACATAATCCTAGACCGAATATATACTTTAGTGAGTGGATAGGAGAAGTCTGTCCATGAATAGGTTGAAGTTTTCTTGTTTTAAAATACTATGTTTAACAAAGATCCAATGTTCTTTCAGAACTGAGTTTAATAACAACAACAAACCACCACTTTTGCAGTACAAATACTCAATAAAATCTAAATAAAGCACAATGGACTTGGTTTCCCACGATTCTAATCACTTTAAACTCAGGTCTTTAACTGGTCAAAGAAAAACATTTTGGCACTTAGTATTTGGGAAAGATCTGTCAATACAAATTGTTAACTGGCTGTTACTTAGTACAATGAAACAACTTACCTTTAAAACTTTCACATGTGAAAACAGAAACAACAACATAAGAAAGAAGGGAGGGCAGATGCAGACTCTGAAACTGAATCTGACCTGATTAAAAACTATCCTTGAGGGATGTGATCCACCCAACGCACTAAGTGGGGGGTATGATTCATGCTTGCATCCTCAGGAGGCTATTACATCTCTGTTACCAATTACTACTGAGGGGCCTGTAGCACACTGCATCCAAAACCTGCGGCCACTGTACAGATGCCCGAACATGAGTCTCTGCAGACTTCAAAATGAAGTTATTTACGAGAAGTCGTTTTAAAAGGATACAGTCTGTGAAATACAAGGAAACAATCAGTTTTCTCCCATTCTGTGGCACTCACAGCAGCTAATTAAATGGTTAAAGGGCATGTTCTCACAATCTGGACAGTATGCTTTCCTTGTAGTTGAGGGAAAATTAAAAGTAAAACCATGAAACAGACGAGCCAGAATTTGAAACAGAGCATCCAACTGCAAATACATCTGTTTCCAGGAAAAAAAAAGTCAGAAAATGGAAAAAACCTAGGTGTTCTCTCTTAGACCACTTTTTCCACGGTATGATGGTACAAAGCAGATCTTACCCTAACCCTCAATGGATGTACTGCAGAAGATGGGGAGACACAGACACAGAAACACAGATATACACACACCTCTCCCCTCTTCCTTTTCTAGTCAAAGACCACTGCCAAATGACTTCAGGAGGCAAAGGAGACAAGGAGAAAAGAAGACCTGCCCAGGACCTTGACTTGTCATAAAGCGTGCAGAGCTCATCAAAAACACCAGCTTGGTGTTTACAAAGACTCTGGGATCATGCCCTTAGCCAAGATGTAATGTCTTCAAAATGTTTACTCTAGTCTCACTTCTGCAAACTGCAATTAAAAAAGGCATACCTTTAAGAGTCTCACAGCTGAGAAAGATTATAACCATTTGAATTCAAAGCTCTTGGTCAAGGAAAGAAGTTGATGAAAATGCCCCTAATCACCTGTGTTTTATTAGATAGACACAAACTTATCCAGTGTTAAGTAGGAATCTGATTCAGTTTCAGCTTTGAAACGTTCACAAGTTCCAAACAAAAACATTGTACATCAAAGCACAAAGGAAAAAAATTAAAAAGCAATTTTCTTTTAAATATGACAGAAAATAATATCCCATCACAGGCTTGCAGTAATTTTTCAGACAAAGCATTTGAGAATGCACTGAAATACTGGGAAAGGAAAAAAAAATTCATGTGTCATATTTATTGGGCTATTTAAAAGCACAAGAGTGCTAGGAAAAAAAAAACAAACCTAAGATGACAGCTTAAAGAAATGGGTGACCTTTTCCAAAGATATTTTTAACCTCATGACCAATACACCTAAGGAAAAGTGGACTCTAGATACAGTTATGAGACTGAAAGGTGTTTCAAGTAGCAAAATCTTTATCTTCATTTCTTCTCTATAGTAAGTAACCTATCAAGGTCAGCACACCTTTTAGTCAGAAACTGAAAACCATTCACCACATTTCCAGCAAACATCCAAAGAAATCAATGTCCACATAAGGTATGCTCTCAAGCAGGCTTCTAAACTCCCTTTTTCTATAGATCTTTTTCAAAAGTTGGCTTTTCTTCCTCAGCCTTAGGTCAGCAGCTCGGGAAGAGTTGTCTTTCAAAGGTAATTATCTATCCACAAAGGAAAATTCAAATACTGGTGATTACCTGAAAATTAAAGATTTGAAGCAAGAAAAAACATAGAACATGTAAGGACCAAGACAATATGTCCACACATATATTAAAACCTTATTAATTCAAACTAGGTGGAAAGAAGATCAGTCTGAATTAATAAGAAGTTTGAGAGCCCAGGGTCTCTTCCTAATTAGGAGTAAGATCAGTTTTCGAATCTTGGCTCTTCTTATCTTTCCAGTCCACCTCATCTCTCTGGAGTCTGTCCCCTCAGTCAAAAAATGAGAAAGGTCATCATCCCTAAGGTACTTTCCAACTCTAATGTTTCAGGATACTATGAAATGTACTTTCATCATCTGGCATATATAGTAAAACAATCTATTGCTTAACAAAGCAACACCACTTAGACATCCTACCAGAACCACTTTAATATGCAGACACAGCTAATTTCTAGTTAATCATATTAAACAAGTACAAATAAATGGCTACTGCCGCGTATATAAAACTCAATTTTCTTAAACAGGTTAAACATTGCCCCTACAATATTGATTATACCATTATTTTGCTTAGTTTCCCTTATTCATAAATGAATCAAAGGTAAAATTTTGCCTATGCCTTTAAACACTTCAAAATAAAAACAGGCAGGCATGAGGAATAAATAAACAGTTCAATTAAAAGTTGTTTTTCCTTTGATTTCAATAGATATGAGGCTTCCCAATCTAATTAACTCCTCTAGATTGGAAGGCTCTAAAAATGTACATGCTGGTAAAAGGGAATTTGGGAAAAGGTAACAAAAGACAGTTAACATTGCCATTTAATAAAAGGTCCCTAAGTGCACAGCCTGCCCAATATATTGATCCAAATGCATGCTTGAATCTGCTTACCTCAGTCTGCGTTTCCTGGAGCGGGACACTGATCGAGATCGAGATCGGGACTTTGAAAAAGAACGAGATCGAGACCTTGATCCAGATCTTGAGCGGGAAGAACGAGACCCTGACTTGGATTTGTTTGTTTTTGACATATCTGAAGAGGGGGTTACTTTTCAAATACACCTACAGGTGAAAAACGAAAGCAAATAAATGAGTGACATAAAAAATACTAAGTTAGATAGCTTGAGTTTTTCCCCCAATTCATAAAATATTTATTTTCTCTCCCTTCCAGCTCCCCACTAAACTGAACTCTCTGTCAGAAGGTGGATAGCATGGTTCATCACTGAACTCTGGAATACTGGTTCATCACTGCTTTGATAAAAGTTCTTAAGTTCTAAATTTTTTTCCTATTGTTTTTGTTATTTTATACCTTTTTCTATTGACCCAATCACTGGGTGCAGTACAGCCAACATTCACCCCTAGATCCACTTGTGCCAAGAAGCGTGGCAGCAGGTTTACAGTGCCTAACAACGCCAACTCTCACTCTCCTGGATAGGACAGTGTCCTGAAAAGTAGCATTTTCTCCATGTCATATAATGGCTTCTGGAAGACATCATTTTGTCTGCATAATGCTGCCATGTCTGTACACTTTTTTAGGGGAATAAAATAAAATTCTGATATCTTGTTTTACATTACATAAATTTTCTCCTGTATCCTTCCCTCTCCCCAAAAGTACAGTAATTCTTTTTTAAGAATTAAGAATTCTTTTTAAAAGGTCAGCAAAACTGATCAATATGTGAAATGTTCTGGATCCATGGGCATCCTGAATCTGCAAAGGAGTGGGGGTAAGGTAAAAAGGGCAAGGAGGATTGTGTAAAAAGTCTGACTCTGAATTCTAATGTTGATGTTAAGTGTGAGACTTGGGGCATTAATTTCTTACTATGGTAAATGACGATTTTCAAGATTCTTTCCAACCCTAAATTCTATTAGCTTCTGTGCTGCCAGCAGCTAGGTAGTGAAATGGATAGAACACTGGACCTGGACTCAGGAAGATGTGACCCTGGGCAAGTCACTTAACTTCTGCCTCAGATTTCTTGTAAAATAGCCCCTACCCCCAGGGTTGTAAGGAGCAAATGAGATGTTTTTGAGTAGGTGCTCCTTCTTTCCTTATTCTTCTAAATGTGGAAGTCTTTGGATGCGAATACAGAAGACTTGGAGTTTTAAGTATTTATTGTTTTTATTGCTTTATTTGCTATATAACCTTAGAAGAGTTACTTAATCTTTCCCAAACTTTAAGTTTCCCCATCTGTAAAAATGGGACTTGGCTTAAGATAACCTTTCTTACATTATTTATCTTAGAGAGTTATTATAAGGAAGGAGCTTTGTATTATAAAATAAATGTAAGCTATTAGTACTTTCTGTTTTGGTTTTTCATTTATTTTTAATATTTTCTGAAACAGTTGAAATCACTGGTCAAATTGCTATGCTTTGAGTTTTTGTTTTTTGTGTTGTTTTTGATACAGAAACATTTATGTTAAGAACACACCACAAAAAATAACAAGCCAGAAGTGAAGGCAAAATCATACACATAATCTAAACTTGAGATTTTTCAGAAATATTTACAAAGATAAGGACAGAGCTATCAGTTAATGAGTGTGGAAGGACACAACTGTTGTTACCAATGTGAAATGAAATATCTCAACTTTCCAAAGAGCATCTCATTGGAAACATACAGTAGTCACTCATTCTGCTACAAAGGAGATCAATCCATTCTAATGTTTTCTATTACCCATTAACATGTAACATTAGTCACCAAAGAGTCCCTAATACAGCATCAATAATTTAGGTGTGAGTCAATGATTCAAGCCCTCAGATCTTTCTATATATTGAAAACCTTCTCTTTTCTACACCATATATTCCCATTCCTTATGTCCAATGTGTTACTAAGTCCTATCACGCCTACTTTGAGTTTGTGAAAGTATCTAACTAAGCTTTCAGGCCCATGATCATTTATTTTCACTAACCAAAACATCAGACTGAAACAGACCAATAAAACTTCTGTTGTGCTTTCACAATTCTATGACAGAGGAACTATGAAACATTTTAACATCAGAACAGGCATTCTTAATACAAGCACATGATACGCCACTAAAAACAAACAATGAAAAGCAGATTTCAGAGAATCCTGGGTAGCATAAACTGAAGTAGAACCGCAAGAACAATTTATACAAGTACGACAATCTTGTAAAGAAAAATGACTTCGAAAGACTTAACTATCATCAAAGCCCTGCTTAACCATGTCTCCTCCACAGAGGATCCACTTGACAGAGGTGATAGAAGGTGAAGAACCTGCATTTCTGAACAAGGTCACTGTATGGATTTGTTTTGCTTGACTGTGCTAATTTGTTACAAGGCTTTTTTTCCCCTTCTTAATCGTGTTAATGCTAGTGCCTTCCCCTCAGAGATTACCTTCCAATTACTCTGTGTATACATAACCTGCGTGTACCTGGTTACTTACATACTTTCTCCACCATTAGATATAGGCTTCTTGAGGGTAGGGACTATTTTTTGCCTTTTTTTGTAACCCCAGTGCCGACACAGTAAAAAAGGAATGTACTGCTGAGTAATGAGGTCCAGAGGTGAAGCATCTATTCAGAAATAAATGATGTAAAGATAAAACAAATTCAAATGAAAAAAAAAATTTTTAATATTAAACTATCACTAATTGGTACCAAATAAACCTGATCTTTAAAAATTGTACTTTTAGGGGGCAGCTAGGTGGTGCAGTGGATAGAGCACTGGCCCTGAAGTCAGGAGGACCTGAGTTCAAACCCAGCCTCAGACCAAACACTTGACACTTACTAGCTGTGTGACACTGGGCAAGTCAGTTAACCCCAACTGCCTTTTAAAAAAAATGTATTTTATTTTGATGTGAATACCTACTGCCAGTATTTTTTTGTTGTTGAAAACTTTATTAGATGCAATCAATCATTTTTTTTAAGATGCGTCACAGCAACTGTAATTGTCCTGTCCACACATAAACCAGTATTTTAGGGCATCCTTTCAGTACGAAACATTTTTGCCTAACAAATTCAGGACTTTAAATTCAGGAAATATAAATATTTCCCTTTGTCATTTTGCTAAACCATGAATTATTCTTTAAAAATTGACATAACACCTGGCACTTCAACATCCTGAAAAATATAGCCAAACTGAAGATACGCGACACCAGAATTGTGTTTCTCTTCTCAGGTAAACTTGGTATTTGAATTGCCCACTGATTATTTCACTGGAATAAGAGTCCTAAATATTTCTTCTACTTTCTTCTAGCTTCTTCAAATTTCCCTGCTTTGTCTATTTTTAATAAAGATGGTAGTATTAAAAATTACAACCAGAACAAAATATCATGAATATAAATGGGTCCTGATTATTCTGCAGGAATTCTGATACTCCAAAACACCCTTATTTTATCTCACACATTATTGGGTGCATTCAGCATTAGGTCTATTAGCAGCTAATTGTTCTGTTACAAGGTTGATTTGGATAAATTGCTGATGAGTCTCTGGGTCAAATGTATGAATTCACTTTATATGAGAGTCTGTAAATCATGCAGGTTTACTGTCTATGTCTACCATTACAATTTTTTTCTTTTCATTTAAAGACAGTCAGAGCCATAAAAAGCAGGGAACACTGTGTGATTTAAGTGCTTCATTTAGAATTTTCTTTATGGCTTAGCAGTGGAACAAATTAAGTACTAGATAGATAGATAGATAGATAGATAGATAGATAGATAGATAAAAAGCATTTTTGAAAAACCGTTGGGAAAACTGGAAGTAGTCTGGCAGAAAATAGGTATAGACCAACATCTCACACCATACCAAGGCAAGTTTCAAATGGGTACATGACAGGTTATAAATAAAGTATAACCTCATCAACAAATCAGAGGAGCAAGGAAGAAATTACATGTCAGATCTACGGACACAAAAAGAGTTCATGACCAAACAAGACATAGAGAAGATCACAAAATAAAAGACAATTCTGATTATATAAAATTTTAAAAGTTTTCCCACAAACAAAACCAATGCAGCTAAAATTAGAAGAGATGTATCAGTAAATGGGGAAAAAAAATCTTTGCAGCAAGTTTCTCTGAAAAAGGTCTCATTTCTAAAATATATTAGGAAAATGATTCAATAAATTAATCAATAATCAATTAACAAATATTTATTATAGGCCTACCGTATGCTAAGCTTATAAGACCCATTCCCCAAATGATAAATGATCAAAGGATATTAAAGGGCAACTTTCAAAGGAAGAAAACCAAGCTATCCATACTACATGAAAAAATATTCTAAATCATTAATGATTAGAGAAATGCAAATTGAAACAACTCAAACACCTCACATCCCCCAGCTTGGCAAAGCTGATGATAAAGATAATAGAAAGAAGAAAAAGACTCATATGTACAAAAATATTGGTAACAGCTCTTTACATGTGGGCAAAGAAATGGAACTGGAGAGGTGTCCATCAACTGGAGGATGGCTAAACAAGTTAACAGTATTTGAATGTGATGGAATACTATTGTGCCATAAGAAATGATAAATGTGATACAGTAGATAGAGCTCTGGGACTGGAATCAGGAAGACTTGAGTTCAACTTCAACTCCAGCCTCAGACACCAGCTATGTGACTTTGGTAAATCATTGGACCTATGTTTGCATCAGTTTCCTCAACTGTAAATGGGGATAACAATAGCACCTACTTCATAAGGTTGCTGTGAGACTCAAATAAGATATGCTGGCTATTATATTATTGAAACAGGAATCAACTGATGAGGTGAAGTGAAAAGAACTAGGAGAATAATGTATAAAATAAAAATAAAAAGAATATAAACAAAAAGGACTTGGAAAGATTTCGGAATTCTGATCAAAATAATCAAAACAATGACTAACCATAATTCCACAGGATCCACAATGAAACATGCTACCAACTCCTGAGAAAAAGATAGTGAACTCAAGAGTATAGACAGAGATATTTTAGTAGGTAAGGAGTGGATGGTTGGGTGGGTGGGGGGAGATGTTAGGCAAGAGGGAGAGAAGGTAGATTTTCATCTATAGCATTTCCACAGGCCCAGTTCAAAGATCCTAAACCTGTGAGGAGATGAGAATTGATATGGAAAAGAAAAAT